GGAGAGGCAGAAATTAAGAGGTGAGTCTAAAAATGATCACTTTTTTTCTTTCTACCTAGTACAGAAACACACAGTTACTTATATTATGATAACAGTCAAAGATCTGAAACAAGAGTAGAACTGAGTTTGTGCTGAGTGTTGCAGAAACACAGCCAGTTCTGACAAGATTATATGATGATATCCATGACTGAGAAGTAACTTGTGAAGCAGCAAAACAACAAGGTATCAAAGAGGAAAATAGTTATTCACAAGTTACTTTGCCAGTGGAGGTATGAACCACTCTTAACAGAACACTTCTTCTACCACATAATGGCAATTATACAAAATTAGGCTAACAGTAGCTACAAAAAACTTCAGTCAAAATAAATTGTCTGTCATTCATTTCTCGAAGCTCGTGGCCTGTTTTAAAAGTTGTATTAAATTGCAAAATACACCTACATCTTTATTACCCAGGTACAGGACAAACATATTTGGTGCCCTCTGGAGGATATCTGATCTTTTATGAGGTCTTTGGAGAAAGAAAGAAAGTGAAGTATAGCCTTTCAAATCCTCAAGGTTCCTTGGAGGTCGAACTTCTACTCCAGAGCTGCCATTGAACCGCATAGGAATAGCAACCTATTAAGAAAACAAATTCAGTTAGTTAAAAGTAGCTGCTGCAGGTATTTCTACTTATCTCACTGTTGTGTGAATTAATGGTTCTTATCCTAACAAACAACATAACTAGGAATCAGGGTGGAAAAGACTGTATTATCAATACTTATCACTTACCCAGCACTTTTTTTTCTTCAGTACTTAGTAATCAACCCTTACCACACCTTTGTCAAGTAATTGTTATCTCCACTGTACGCACAGGAAAGGACGTGCCCTGCAGCTCTAAAGAGCAGACCTACAAATTACTTAGGTGTCTATTTACGTATCTTCATACTTCACTTAGCTGGACTTGACTGCTGGAAATTAAAATGCACCACTATCAATAGAGACATCTTCTATTACAGCTGTTTACACCAGGGTCACAGATTCATATTATTCATTAATAGGACACTATGTTACTTGGGATTACCTCAGGGACACTTCTGCTGCTATCCAAGACCATGCTATCCCTCGAGCAACTACAGCAGTTGCTCAAATGGAAAAAGGGCATTCTAACAAGAATATATCAGTAGCTGACTTCTAACGTGGTGAGGCAGCTAGAGATATGAAAGCCAGCAGCACATGCTTACACAGCTTTTTAGGACGTGTCAAGTGCTCCACAAGCCACGCTTTGGTGGAGAACCTTGCCTCTGAGCTACAGAGCTGACTCTACCCCTGCTGTCAAAGAAAAGTCCTTACAACATATCTTGGAAGGGAAGTGGCTATTGTACAAATGGGTATTGTAGAGATGATCTGGAAAAAAAAAAAAACTTACAGAAAGAAGGAATGAGCAGGAAGGAAGCTATACGATGGTACTGTATCCACCACTCTATTATGTATGGATTACTCTACTTCCCTCCCATCCTCAGAGTTGCTAAAAGTGCTGGGTGGTGCTATTGGGTTGAATTTATGTCCTGTCTTTCATGCACATTTTAACAAAATGATTTAGAAAGAGGAACAAAAACACTGCTGTATGCCCACACCACCGAGGTTAGGCATGACCTCAGGACAGGTTCAGGACAGTGTTCAGGACAGTGTTCAGGACCGACCTTGTTTGCAGCATCTCTTGCTTGCTGAATAAGCTCTCTTATGCGATTCACATTCTCAGAGATGTTACTTATTGGCATCAGCTGTTGGTTAATACTCGCAATCTTGCTGAACAGATCCGGAAGTGTGTTTGTCAATATTGTTACTTCGATGAAAGAAAAAACACATCATTGAGGGTAGAAAGGAGGAGGAAAATGGATGCCAAATATGAGATAGGATTACACGGTTATCATAAAAGCAGTGAAGAGGGTGACTGCAGAACTGTTTTCATTAGTTCCACAATACTATGGTGTCCTCATTGAAACCAGCAGTTTACACAGTATATATTGTACTCCTGGAATCTGTGACCAAAGGGATTTGTGGAAGCAGACAGAACTAGCAGTTCCAAAACGGTGTTAGATAATTTCGGATCCACAAACAGCTACTGAACAGAAGAGGAAGGGATGTGCCCTTTAACATTATTATACCCTGACTATGGATACTAGGGGAGTAACAGGCAACACGGAGGTTCAGGCTTATGTGCATTCCCTGAATAGCATCTCCTGTTGCCACTGTTGAAGAGTGAATACTGGAGTAGGAAGAGCATTGGTCTGTCCTAATAGGGTATTTCTTATGCTCTTGTGTCAGAGTTGCCAGTCATCACAATTCAATAGTGAGTCTCACAGTATTTGGGAAGGTTCAATTTCAAGAGAAAAAGAGATATTATGAAAATCTCAACTTTCATTAAACAGGAAATAATTTTTCAGCTCTTGTGATTGCAAAGAAAAGATGGAAGCATTAGAAGAGCGCAACCTAAAGACGCAGAAGCCAAATAAAAATAAATCCAGACCTAATATTTTTCTAAATATGACTTCTAAACTGATCTCTTAACTGCAGGGATGACTCATGACTCAGCAATAACATGCAGTGCTAACTGTTACAATTATCTTGTTTATTCAAAATGTTTTATCTCACTTCAATTTATCAGATAAAAGTTGCTGAAAAGATGGAAAAAGATCCCTGTAAGTGGTTTGGCATTGTGATTGCCCCTTATTTTGTATTCTACATGGTCTTTATATTTAATGGATGCTAAGGGTGGAATCCACTTCACTTAATTTCAGCTGACAGTCTAATCGCCTAAGTCTTTTCTGTAGTCACTAGAAAATATGTCTTCAGAGGCTAATCACGGTATCAGTTTTAAACTCATATCTCAGGATGACCTGAATTACCTTCTGTGCCTGTCCCTTTCCATTTGCCACAAAGGAAGCTCAGAAAACTAGCATAGGTTAGATGCCTAACTTTTAGATGACTAAAATTAGAGAAAGCTACTCTTGCTGCAGAACTGAGTTCACCTAACAGTGAGTTGACAAGTGTCAGACAGTGAGCACTTGCAATAGTGCACAGAACACTCACCTGAATTGTTTGCCTCTGTCAACACTTTCCTGAAGTCAGCACTCTGTGTGCTTCCATAGGTACTCTTAATTTTTTCCACATCTGCTTGAATTGGGAGCAGTTCACCCAACACATTAGTTGTGACATCCTCGGCACTTTTTACCATGCTCTTTGCATTGGTGATTTTGCTGTCAATATCATCTGAAACACACACAAACGCATGTGCAGATTCTTATAGTAATAGGTGAATAAGGCAGAACAAAAGTGATCAGTAAGTAACTGACCTCTGTTTATCCCATTGAGATTATTTTGAAGAGTAACAAAATCAATTTGTAGTTCATCCTTCTGTCCATCAACAACACCAACTCTTTGATTTATGTCTTCAAGGTCTGGAACAATAACTGTAAAACATTAAATTTGCCTTTTGAGTTTTATACAGAAATACTACCTCTCTGATGGAGAAGTGGTATGGTAGCATCACCCAAACCTCTGAACAGATCTTACATTGCCACTGAGGTTTGAATTGCACTGCAAAACAAATGCAAGGCTTTTAGAAGTTTTGCTGGAGAGGAATGCTGCGAAAACAGGGAAAAGGGAACAGCTGGACACCTCACATTCCCAAACATAGCAGAGGTGAGAAATCCACTTCCTTGTCCATGAAAATAACTATCGTGAGATGTTCCACTTCAATGGCACGATCCTTGGCTGGTTAATTATGTGCTGAAATGCTTTGCTGAACTGTGAAAATTGCATTGTTCAATGAAAATTTCTAATATTGTGCCAACATTTCTACTATCGCTTTCTTTCTGGGTACCTTGTAATGTCCTTTCAGTCTCTTGTGCTTGAGTCAAAAGCGCACTGCTCTCAGCTTTTAACCTTGCAGCTTTTCCTGATAGGTCTTCTCTCTTCACTGTCTGGTAACAGAAGCATTGTACTATAAGTTTGTTTTAATAATTACATTGAAATCTTAAAGAGTAAAAAAAAAGATAGCCCAATCCAGTTTAAAAAATAAATATGCAGAGATTTCACGCAAAGAACAAGACCCTCCAACCACAATTATCCAGATTAATCTAGGCATAACACAGCCTCGGTCTTTGACAAAGTTCTAATAGAGTTTGGAGCATTAGATAGAAATTACAGAAATACAGCTGTTAGATACTACTCTCCTGCTGGAGCGCTCATGGGTATTAACAGAGGAAGGTAAAAGAGAAGAGCTGAAACCACCTTCCGTGATTACCAGTGCTGGTTCATGCACACCTCTTCTATTTTGCACTGAAATGGACAAGGAGTATTCACATGGACAGCCTCACCAGAGAGGCAATAACTAGCCTGTTTAACGCTCTGGCAAGACTAATACATGAACATGCAGAATAGCAACTTCCTCATATAATGGCCACAGACAAATAAGGCAAACTAAGACACACAGGTCTTTGATTTTGGTGCCTCCTTGATAGTAAACAATCTTACCTAGCTGTAACAATCTTACCATCATTTGGCTACTTACGGGACTTACCAATAAAGCTGAGTCAGCTGCGTTCCCAGCTCTGTTGGCTGCTTCCTCTGCTGCTTTGATGGCGTTGACAATGTTGTCATAGGCAGTAGAAGCTTCCACAGCGCAGCTTACCAACTCATCCTTTCTGGCATTGTTCTTTATCCTGTAGGAAACAGGGTGAAAAATGCAGCCTTCTGCAAAGACCACAGACTTTGAGAAGCATTACAAACAGACCTGAACTCAGTAATTTTTAATCAATATCAATAAAGAAAATGTTTTTCAGTTAGATCTTTAATTTCATTCTGCAAAAATATCAAACTTAGAAGCAGACCAATATGAAAAGATTCTTTAGTAGACAAAGACAAGTTCAGGCACTTGGCAAGGTATGATTGTGGGTCTCCAAAATAGTCTTTAAGTGATTAAGATAGGGAGAATTCCCCAACTCACAGGGTCAGTGAGCCACCTCCATCACAGACCCAAAATATAGTTCAGTTCAGAGTAGTAGTTCAGAGCAGTACCGCTTCCAGTTAATTTCTGGCTGCTCCAGCAGCCTACAGAAGTGGCCACTGATGGAGCACAGGACAGAGCAACTTTGAGACCACTTGTTCTTGCTGCAAGAACCAGCGCGACAGCTCTGAAATCAGAAACAATAAAGAAAATTCCTTGTACCCATTCCACTTGAGCTGTGCAACTGCCCAATATTAGCTACCTTGTATTTGTGAGAATGCAAGCTTGTTAATTAAAAAAGTCACACTGAAAACTAACAAAAAAAAGGACTGTTTTTTATTAAGAACTTTCCAGCTAAATTGTGTCTTTTGGAATTTAATTTAACTTTTGAGAGTTTCTGGCTGGAATAATGACAAAATGCAAACAATTTGCACAGAGAAAAATTAGGGTTCTGCTTTTTTCGTTTCCTTCTGATGTGCCGTAGAAGGCCTCCAAAACCTCACTCCTATTTCCAATGTAAAGTACAAATAATGGAGGGAGAAAGCCTAAGCCATATCAAGTTTTTCCTATCTTTGCCTTTCTAGAAGATTCCCTGAAGGATGAGAAAACTATGGGAATTCTTTAACTCATTTATGATAAACAGGTATGTTTGAAGACTCTGCCAAGATAGCCTTTCTCCCAGTTATTTGTCCCAGTTCATTCCTATCATAAAGGTATGAGTACAAATACCTGAAATAACACTATGAAAAATATTCTAAACATCTTCCCACTCCTTACATGAGGATTTTCTCTCATGAGTTAAAAATTCATGAAATGTTCTTACGTTCTCGACTCCAAACAGTTCTTGAGAAAAATACAATACAAATTCAGGAAAAATACAGAAAGACCTGATTTTGTAAAAAGGAAAGCTTGCGAGAAATTGCCATATACCATGAAGAGGCAGAAAAAGGCACAAATGTATTTTTTTCTGGCTTTGCAAATGGCCATAAAAGCAAGTGAAGTTACAGACATTGCAACTGTGGATGTTATGTGCAAAAAATGCTTATTTATAAGAATGGGAACATACTCATCCAATTGTTTTGCCAAGGCTTGCAAAGATTTGGCATGATCCTCAGCCCTCACCACCAGAGGTTCTTTGCTGGCTGACAAGGAACCGTTCGTGAGCTTTTCATTCAGATCCTTCCTTGCTCCATCGAGCTGAGCAGCCAGACTTTCATATTCCTATGGGTTTATAAAGATAAAATTTAATCTGTATTCATAAATGTTTGATTTTCTCCTTGTCACCTTTACCGTGACATATATGTTGCACCTGAGGAGACCAAGGGGAAAAACAACCTTTTCCCACATACTCTGAAGTTTATTGTAAAAAACTGTTAGTCATTACATTATGCTTTTATGTCCATTATGTAAAAACATAAAAACTGCCATACCGAGTCAGACCAAAAGTCTTTCTAGCCCAGTATCTTGTCTCTGACAGTGGCTAGAAGCAATTGCTTAGAGAGATGCACAAGAAGAGCACAATTACATAACAATATTTTTCCCAGCTACTCTTCCAAACTTCTGCGGCTCAGTGTATTTGTCAGACATATAATAACTCCCAACAAGTTTCTCTTTCAAGAACTTGTCCAGGCAGGCTCCTCTCAGAGCCTGAGATCCTTCCCTTCTCTTTTTGTGTGACTCAGATTAGCCTCATGCTCGAGACATGGAGGTATTATACATGACACTTTACACTGACAGCAGGATTTTTTTTTTTTTAATCTTAACTTAAACAGGTTAACTATACCTCTTTGCTCTTCTGCAATAATCCAAGTACACTGTTAGCTTGTGTTAGGGAAGATTGGGCAGAGCTCAGAATATCCAAGATATTGTTCTGTTGTACACTTGTCTCATCAATCCGTTTCTGAGGAAACATGAAAGGTTGAACAACATGTGATTGGCTCAAAAATGAGAGACAGGGAAAATCATACCTCCCTAGTCTAGCTTGTAGTAGAATTTCCCAAAGATACTTTTCCTATATTAATCATGTGCCTATAGTGTTTAGGAGCTCAGGCTATCTTACTGATGGTAACAGTGAGAAAACTCAGGAATTTGCAGTAGTACGGCATAGCGTCTCAAGACAGCTGAGCAGCAGGCTACAGAGGTCCAGTTATTAATGCTCAGCCCATGAAAAAGCAGTTCTAGTCAACACAAATGCATCGGCAGGACAGACCATCTCTCAGATCCAAATAATGTAACAGTATTGCACGTCTGACTGCTCCCATCGTTCATGGCTTTTAAAGCCATATACCTTAAGGACCTTACTACATGAAGTTCATCAGAATCAGGAATTTCATCTAGAATAGGAGACAAAATGGCGAGTTACAGCTGAAGAGGATGGATAGGCAGACACTCTCCTTCCTGTCTTTCATTAGACCTACATTCTTTTGACACTGTCCTGGTCACATAAACAGGCAACAGGTGAGAGTAGACTATATTTATACCTGGACAGACGTAGAATGATGGAAAGAGACCTCAGAGAAGGTTTAAAGAATTTATGCCACTTGGCTTTGCAAGGCCAATAGCAGCAATAAAAGCACTTTCTATCTCCTGGGAATTAACTTTCTTCTCCCAAACCCCAAGTGCTATTACCTTAATGTCTTCCAACAGAACTCCGTTATCTCTGTTTACATTTTCAGCCTGCTTGATTAGTCCAGTGGCCTCATTCAGAGCTTCACGAAGGTCAGTGAGTTTAGATTCGTATTCATTCAATGAATCCCTCACAATTTTAACAAGCCCATGATTTTCTTGGTGGTACTTTTGTAGTTCATTCTTAACATGTGCCAGTACTGCGGTATCAGAACCAGAAAGAAAAGCTTTGTTCAGAGAGGAAGGGAACCAAAACAAACCTCCTTCAACAGGGCTTACCATTTAGGATTAGAAAGCTGTGGTGGGGTGACTGAGCATCCTTTGCATCACTATAGTATCAGTAATACTATAGCATAGATGTTATTCAGCATCACACTGGCTCAAATTTGGTCACAAAACTGCTGCTAAAGACATGGAGCATACTCTTAGAGAAAAACGTTTATTTACCTATTTCTCCACTAAATAAGGATGAACTTCTGGAAATATTTAACTGTTTTTATCTTTTTTAATATGAAATTAAAACAATGTCATCACCATTTTCCTCTACAATGTAGACGTCTACATCTCAGCTAGTCATTAAAGCTTCCTCTGTAATCAGCAGAGAGATACAGGCACTTCTAGGGCACATTTCATCTCATAGAAGGTAGAAACCTAAAACAGGCCAAATGAATCACACTCTTAAAGAGCGTCCATTTCACTGCCTATACACAGGATATAGAAGAGTTACTCAGAGGTAGGTATCAAGCCCAAAGTTAAGGGAGATAAATCTCACTCATAAGGTCCTTCACACTTCTCAGCTATACCCCTGCTTAGGGGAGAAGCCTGTGACTTTGCTATCCTTGCTGTCTCTAATATGCAGAATCATCTTATTGGCTGTCCCAGTCAAATACGTGCAGAGAACATAAAATGGAGTACAACTAGAACTTCGGTACCTCCTTATCCTTTTATGATCCGACCCCTGTATTACTCTAATGGCTTATTAACATGTGACTTTAAATTATACATGTGCAATTTTTCTAAAATAGCTGCATGTACCTTATCTTCTACATTATAATACACAGAGCACTGGGTAAGTATATATAATCAGCTACATTTTTATTTTACTGACATTTCTCTAGTTATTAAAGAAGGCTGTACTGGGTTTCTTCCCTAGTCTATCTTAGTTTCTCTCATAATAAAGTAAAAATGCCTTTAAATCCCCTACAGAATTACCAGTTGATTACCACTGACAATTACTACAAACCCAGCAATATATTGCAAAATGCCCCTCCCCGCACTCCATCCCAACCAGTCAATAATGCTTCAAATTTAAGACTGAGCTTTCTAGAGAACCAAAAGAAGAAGATGGGAGAACAAGCCCTTACGCAGCTGAGCTTCTCTTCTCTCCTCTTCTGCATCTGTTAGCAGTTGGCCAAAGTTGCGGTTTCGCATCTCTGTCATCATGCGTTGAGCTTCAGCGAGTTCTTTGGCAGCATCCCCCAAGGGCAAATTGTTACCTTCTGCATTTGTACCAGCTATTTGTTCTAAGAGCACTGAAAAAAAGAATTCAAACAGAGGACGCCCTTAAGCCTGTTTAATAGACACAAATCACAGGGCTGATATCCTTTCTGGAAAAGGCATGCCTACTCCTGAATTCATTAATGAAGTAGAACCATCTTGTGTTAACTGTGCTAATCTGAAAAGTATCCTGTCACACCACGAAAGTTAGTAAGATAGCATCAGGCTTGAAATTTGTCCAGAATTACCAAATTCCCAGCAATAATTTTAAGCATCTAATTTAAAATACCCAAGGATAGCAATCCAGGCTAAAGTCAGGATAGTCAACCAAGTGCTCTAAATCGCCCTCTGGAAAAGCTTCTCTGTCCCTATTCACTATACAAGGAGGGTAGGCTCTTAAATTTGCATTATATGTAAGATTTCTAATAGGAAGAGTGAATTCTATAACTATGTCTAACTTTTTATTTTATGAAGCTTTTTTCTAAAAAAAACTTCGTGTTCAATTAAGAATACTATAAGTAGACTGTTCATAAAACAAAACATACTGGAAACCACTGGAATCATTTTTACCTTGTATATTATTGACAACTATTTGTATTCTTGAAATCAAATCCTTTCCTTTCTGATTAGTTTCGCCAAAATTATTAAATAAACTCTCTGCTGTCTTGTAGTTCATTTCAGCCTAGCAAGGGAAAAAAGCAATTACATCAAAGATATCTGGATACAACAAACCAATATGCAGTTAAGAGAAATTTATTTTTAAATTAATTTAGTAGGTCACCTTTTCCTGGAGAGCATTTACGTCATGATTTAGGTTAATGAAGTCTGTCTCCAACTCATCTACCTTTGAACCCTGATTATGAACAACAGAACGGTAATTGTTCAACAAGCCCTGAAAAGAAAGCAAAAGGAATTCCAGTGAATCACCCAGACACAGGAGACAATGAGCAAAAATTCACTGGCTTAGATCTTTACCCAAGGTAAATGAAGACAGCACTACTAATTTTATAGCTGACCAATTTAACAGCTGGGCCTTTGTGTCTGTGAGTCCAGCAACTGCTATTCCAACTAAGGAAAATTCCTTTAGAATGTAGTGTTTACAGTAGTGCAGAGGCACAAAGTGCTGGAAAAAGTAAGTGCTACAGGGAAACCTCAGACATACAGCTTTCAAGCTGAGTAGGCCTAAGAAAAGCAGAGATATTCCTTCTCTTTCAGAGGACGAGGTGGAACTAATAGCTTTCTGCCAACAGGTGGAGCCCAGTACTGTCAGGATTCACCACTTGAAATCTAAAGTTCATCAATGTCTTCTTGTAAGCTGACAACAAATAGCATAAATTCCCAGGTTCAGCTCCTGTATGCTTAACCTGAAATCAGTTTAAGACTGCTCTTTGTATGTATGTGTACCTTTAGGTCCTTGATGCGTGTTTCCAAATGTCTCATCTGCTCCAGTGTGTGGGTACTCGCATGGACATTTTGCAGCTGAGACTTAAGCAGCTGAAGCTCATCACCGATTGTGCTCAAATCCTTCAGCAATGTAATTACACAGCAATCGCAAGCTGAAGGGAAAGAGCATGAGCAAAAGAAAACAATACGTACTATTGATATTTTGCACAGAGAACATTTCATTGAGCGCATTAATAAATAAGAGGCAATGGAAACTTTTTTATGCTTGTCATCCAGTGCTACCTGAAGAACAAAGGCAACAAAAAGGCCTGCAGTATTAAGGAGAGTGAACAAACCTGGAAATAAGGAGGAGGCCCCACCTACATCTGGCTAAACAGCCTTTTAAATACTATTTCCCAAGTGCTTTCTTGACTGTTTGCTTTTTAAAGATTAACTACAGGACACTGCCATGCTTTTTTAAAGTCTGCCACCTTTAAAACAGTTATCAGTATATATCTAAAGCCAGAAATCAGCAATCTAAGTGCAGTTCTCTTTCATTACTTACAATCACAATCTTCATCAGGATCCACATCTTTTGGTTCATTATTTAAACATTCTGAAATCAGAAAACTATCATCAGTAACCAAGATTCTCTTATGGAAATGTTACTATTGCATTTTTACACTCACTTTCCATGGTTGGCAGCCATGAAAACACTGTGCAACCCTTTCATAAATCCATAATCAGCGTGAACTAGCCAGACCGTCCAGAAAGCTTGAGAGCGCCGAGTTTAGCTCCTGCTTGTGCCTTGCTGAGATCTACATCTTACTCATCCCTCAGAATGACTGTAACCTCATAACATATGCTACTTGCATAGCAGCAGGAAGCTCTCTTGCATCAAGGCTGGTGAGTCCATTCCATTTTGCCTAGACTAATACTGTGATTGGAGCAAAGACTATATAGTCTACTAATTAAAGCATTCGCCTAGGACATTGGTTCAAACCCTTGATCTAACCTCAGCATCCACATTTGAACCACAGATTCTTATTCCCAGAAGGATTCTAATCCACAAGGTACTGAGAAATGTTTACGGCCTTCTTTCATAGCTGTTTCAGTCTGCACGATTAAGAGATTAATAAGGATTGAGAGAAATCCAGAGCATGTGGATAGAAGGAGGCACTGTCCATAACCTAAAGCATCGAGCCTGGGCCATAGATACAGGTGGTATACAGGTGGTGTAGACACTGTCATCAGACTTTCCTACAAGCTAGCACAAGTGACTGCCTGTCCTATGTGCTGTTTTCTTACAAAATTTGTTATAAGAAGGTTAACAATCTCCACGCTTTTGCAGGATTCTTACCTGGAATCCTAACTTTTAGGAGGCAGGAGAGGAGCTGGCTGCTAAAAACATCATCATATAGGACAAGAGTCTCCCTGCCTTTATGCCTAGGTCCCCGTTACTTATTAAGTCCTATCCGCTACTGCAGAACTCACAGGGCTGCCATCTCCTGTTGAAAGTGAAAAGGACCGAGCAAGTCTTTTCCTTCAGAGGATGCACTTAGGATATAGCAGCCTTTGCTGCTGCTGTCAAGAGTCAACAACGGCATGCAACTGTGAGAGGCTACAGTGATAAAATTAGATCTGATTTTTAACAGTAGCATGAAACAGCCTGGAACAAACTGCCTAGCTGTGCCATTTCCTTTGGTGCCTGCACATTAAGTCATCAGGAAGTTACACAGTATTGGTAGTGAGCATTCCTGCCAAAAGAAGAAAAGTCACAAAGAATCTGTTTGTAAGAGAGTGACGGAAATTATTTTGAAAGCAAATACACGTGCAGTCCTGCTGTTGTATAATTCAGCTAACACAGGATACATTTCAGCTGTGGCTACAAAGTATCAATTAAATAAAACTATTATTACAGCTTATGCACAAACCACATCAGCTGGGAAATGATGAAATGAAAAAATTCAGCCAAGTGCCAAATATCACACACATATAAACCTGCCAGAACATGTTGTGCTGCTGATCACAGGTTTTATTGCGAATGCGGAGAAAAAGATGGCTGATCAGAATATATTGTTGGAGATAAACTGAAAACAAACTGGCTTGCTCAATTCTGCCCTAAGGATTAGTTTGTCCTAGCAAACTCTTGCTTGGAAAAGAGAAATGATAAAACATCAAGCGCTGCTTGGATCTGTTCCACAGAAAATAAAAATATAACAAAGATGCCTTATTTTAATGATGAAATACAAAATGAGAACTAACTAACAAAAAATTGCACCAGGTGCCAACCGCAGTTCACGTCATTTGCTGTTCTCTTCTCATTTCTGTGACCAAAGAAAGACAAGATGATCCTTACAGTTATTTGAATGTAGTATGAACATTGTGCAAGGAAATGAAATGGGAAAAAAACAGGAGTCTTTAGTTTGACATTTCACTAAAATGTGAGAAGGAAAAACTGCCTATGGGGAAAGAAAAGTATAAATCTATTGGAGAATAAAAATAGGGGGGATAATCAAGAACAGCTGTCCACATGTTTCTCAGCAGAAAAGAGTATTTCAAAGGACTGAGGTGAATCACAGTAAAGACGGGCTAAGGAACACAGGATTACACCCTTTACTTCAGAATTACAATAGATAAAGCAAATATACGCCTGCAGCATAATATTCTTTGAAAAACTTAACTAGTAGTGGAGTAGATATATGAATGACATCGGGAAAATTAAGGATGTCTCAGTCTGCAGATGCGTGTATAGCAGGATTTATAAAATAGCCTCCTGAGTTAGATGCCTAACTTCCATTGTAAACACAGTTAGCTTAGATATCTAATATGGCAGTGCCAGATGCAAACTCTGAAGATGTCGTTGATCTGTCTCAGATACATTTAAAAAGGGCATATTAATACTGCTCCATGAGACATGTTTCATATTTCATAACCCCTAACACAAGTGGCAAGATAAGACTTAAATATTTTAGAAGAGAAACAATAATACATTTAAATACATGCCTGTGAAACAGAAAAGCAAAATACGTTTATTTTATATTTATACTGTTTATGAAGGAAAATCATGACAAAATGCCCTGCAAAGGTGAACTCAGTGACTCAGGACAGCTCTTCCATGACTACGCTTTTATGTTTAGGAAACTTTACGCTTTGTTAAAAATGATCTACATTTCTAACAGGCGTAGGTCTTTCCTGAAGTTCAACTTTTCAGAAGATCTTCCATCTCTGCTTCCCAGAGAGTAAAGAATGTTTCCTTACACGTTCATAGGCCCTTACATACCTCCAGTCAGGTGGTCACAGCTAACCAGCTGGCCATTATTATTACAATTACATTTTTGACAGTAGCCTCCATATTTTTGTGGATTTCCAAAATATCCAGGAGCACAGCTAGATAAAAGAGATATAAATGTTGTTTTATTAAGTATTTGAACCTGCTTTTGTCAAATATACTTTCAGTTTACAAAAACCCAGTTCTCCTCCTGAAGAAACTGTCAAGTAGTAGATTTCATGTCTTGGACAAAAAGGATGTATTTTTGGTTTACAGTATCCTCTGCACTCTGCTAAAAATATCTAACCAAGTCCTACAGAAAACGTTTCTAAAAATAAAAGAACTCCCACAATGCTCATCTAAAAATAATTCACTTAGTCTGTAAAAGCACACATGCGCACAGATGCATACATAGAGGCAGTTTTAAAAGGCTTAACCCAGGAAACCATATCATTCTGTTCTGTGATCCCACCAGAATTCATGTATTAAGTAGGATCATACTGCAAGCACATGCTGAGTTTTCAAACAGCAGCGGCACTGAATGACATTACCACCCTTCTGCTGAATGCTACCTGCTCTTGCCATCTTCCAGCAAAGCAATCCGTGTGAGCAGTCCCTAAATATTTTCTAGGAAAAATATATTGCCTGGACTGGCTAGACAGTATTTCTAAAAGTGATTCTGCTGTATGATCTAAAGGGGTAGTAATAAGTGATCAAAGGGCCATGATAAGTAGCTGAGAGTGGTAATATTTTCCACTGCTACAGCTAGATCTGGAAGAGCAAATCTCTCCATAACCTACCGCTTATGTGTCAAAGGTAACAGTCCTGAAATACTGCAAAGTTGCACCCCTAAAAGATAATGTGCTATTGTAGGTACTGTCTTCAGGTGAGACACCATGACTTACTGGCCTCAGGTTTCCAAACCAGACAACCCCAATTCCATTATCCTGGAATCCCAGTTCCTCCCGGATTTGAAACTCAGTGAAATTGCTTCCTCTTCCTGCCTGAAATTGTTATGCTATATTTCTTTTGCTTTGCCAAACTGTTGTAACGTTCCAGCAAAACAGACGGCTTCAGTTTTGTGTTTGTACACTCCACCTGCAGTGCACATCGGAATGATGTGGCATGAAGGGTATGGTATTAAACATTACATGGTTGCTGCCGGATAACTAATTAAGAACACTGAAGCACCAACAAGTACGCTAGAAGAAATGGGAAAATGCTTTCAATTGGAAAGGGGACAACATAACTGGAAGTCACTATTCTTAGAAAGAGTGAAGGATAAGACAATACACAGGGGAGCTATTCAAAGTCATTACCACTTCTCTTACCGATAAAAACTGTGTAGTCACTAAGTGTGTTGTGGAGAATTATTTACATTTCTTCAGGGGGTGTTGGGGTCTCATCTGCAATTATACTACAGCACCACACTATAGCAGCTATTTATATACCTTCTTAAGTGTGTGCATACTACACATACACACATGTACATATTATATAATAGAGATATACCGCCTTTGATGGTGTCTCTCAGAGACATTTATCCTGAGAAACAAGTCACTTACCGTTCACAACGAACTCCAGTATAGCCTTCTTTGCATAGACACCGAATTTCTTCGCCGTTTGCCACACAGCCAGTTGCAAATCTGTAAGAGGTAACAAACATTTTATTGTGAACACATAATCAAATGGGTTTTGCATTCTGGATGCTAAATTCAGCTAAATGACTTTCATATTAAAAGACTTTTATACCACCAAATTACTGCTGAGTTAACTTAATTGCCTGTAGATAAATTGCAGTGACTAATTATTTGAAGTTTCATATTTTTCCCCTAAATTTTCTCCTTAGATTGAAAAATAATCACTTCCTGACCCTCTGGACAGAATATAATAGTTCACTACACAAAGGAATGCCTAAAATAAACCTTAATAGTGATGTTGTAATAAAAAACAGGTCTATGTAGCTATTTTATCTTACTAGGCAAGAATCAATAGTCTATGCTAGACAAAGTTCCCTCTGGTTTGTATTGCTCTTTTCTTATTTATAGATGGAAGCATTAGATCTTATTTTTATGTAGCTAATACATGAATACATAATACATAATGCATCTTTTTCTTTTTTAACCAAGGCAGGATAGAGTTATGCACCCCCTTAGAGAGCTCTAAGGTATATCTCATTAACACAATGAACATTTTGGTACGCTCTTTCTAGCAGACTCACCTGGATTCAAATTTCAATAGGGAAGATGACCGTTTTTTGGCCATTGTTTGGTGAGAAGAAGGCAGGAGGTGAAGATGGGATAGGCCAGCTTTGTTATTTCCATTTTTTAAGCCAAGAACAGCTGGATAAACCAAGTCTGTCTATCAAAGACAAGTATCAGAAGTCTGCACTAAGAATTATGTATAATTTGACTAGGTGGAAGACTGTTAACTCCAACAATGCAAGATGGGATGCATTTCTGATGTAATGAATGGTATTTACCACCCGAATGTGGGGTGAAACTCTCAGCTATGAAACTATTGCAGGCTTCACGGTCTCCCTAGATATTTCAGCACCCTTAAAGCAAAAGATGAGTAAAAATGGGCTCAGCCAGCCTCAGCAAACACCTGCAGAAGAAGCCAGTGTTGTCAAAAACAGATCTATCAGAGAGTCATCTAATAAATGAAAATCTTGTCTATTGTCTACTAGTGTAAATCTCTTACTTAAGCCTACCTCGTGTTTGCTTCTGCACCTGGCAAATGCTACGTGGTGCCTTTAGCAGTTCATAGCTTAGGTTTTTTTAAAACCCACTTGTTTTTGTTGAACACATTTCACGTTTCAGAACTGATCAATGACAGTAAACAATGTGGCTCAGCATACTGTTCATTTAAAATAAAATTTATTGCCCAGTTTTAAAAGCCTGGCAACCTCATTAGATCTGATGAAATTTTTTTTTTCTAGCTCAGTAATATTTGCTGAGTACCATTTGCAGTTCAAATGGAGTATCTGCCTAGGAGACAGCACAGTCTTTCAGAATGTCAATATGTGCTTGTGAGCTTTAATTTTCTTAATTATTTTTGCATCTTACTAAATTTTATGAATTCACAGAAAAGGCTTCTTTCATCATTGCCACTTATCTCCTCTATGCTGAAGGAGATCTGGCTGAGTGTAATGGTAATGAACATGAGATTAAAGATAATTTACATCCTACATTTCTCCCTTTTACCAACTCTGTTTGGCTTCTCAGGACCTTTTACAGTACCTGTTTGTATAAGGGCAAGGACATGTCCGACAGGAACCTTGAGTGGCATCTCCAAAATAACCATCTTTACAGCGTTCACATTTATCCCCAGCAGTATTATACTGACAGTTCTTAAAAAGGAAACAAGCAAAAAGGTTAACAGTGCCTTCCCATTCTATATGATTCTATTGCTATTTTAAAAATTATAGCCCATCTATTCAGAAACTCTAAGAATATGTGTTTTCCCTTTCACATAATCAAGCATTTATTGCCAAATTGCCTTCACTACCAAGATAGATTGGTTTCTGTCATTCTCTAATTGTAGAAGCCCATTTTGCTCACTGTTGTGGAAGAGCAACACATGAATAATCAGTATTAAATGTATTTTTAAAGGAATTCAGTCGGATCTGTAGTTTGTTAAAAAACATTTCTGTAATGCATTCCTTATATCTTGATATTTCGATGGCACCCCTTAAAAATTCACAAGATTTAAATGTAACTTTAAATTTTGCATCTTAACACAAATTAGAAGGCAGACACAATTTAAAAGCATGCAGTTAACTGAGTCCAAATGCATTCTTAAAAATTTCTAAGAAATTACTTCCAAAACTAATTCTCTTGGTAGATTCTGATTAGATTTGAATTTCATGCATCTTCCCCAATGTAAATGTAATTTGTTTTTAATTTCCTAACTGGAATAAATAATGAAAAGTGAATGCTGGGAAAAAACTGTAACTGATACAGCCCATTTTCCATGATAAACTTGCTGGAAACTATATCTTATTTTAGAAATATTCTTATTCCTGGCGTTGTCTGAACGTCACATGTATCTATACGTTATGGCAGGAAGACGATAAAGTTGCTTTTGCTTTAAGGAAGGAGATATTAATTTACAATACAAGTTGTTCAAGTACATTGTTGAGCAGTCATAAAAATTCAGTGAAACCAAAATCCAAGAGGCATTCACACCCCCTAGTTCCACAACTGTTTTCTTCATAATTTCATTGTGCAACAGATGGATTCAGTGACCCGCAGAGCTGAGTGTGTACTAATGAACTGAAAGATGCAAAGAGAAAGTGGGCAACTGGCTGGAAGCATTCACGGAGCAGACTGACCGCACTCTCATTTCAGGAACCTCCGATGGCTTAGAGCATAGGCTAAAAGCCCTAGTGCCATGACTTGCAGCAGAAGGGCAAATTTTCCCTTCAGATGAGAACCAGTTCTGACCTTTCCATCTCCTCTTGTACTCCATTCTCGTCCACATTTCCTCATACCAAGATTTCCTCAAGCACATCAACAACCATTTCTGCAGCCTCTGCACATAGTAACCCATAATTTTTTTGGTTAAATAATTAAATTTGTGGCTCATTTATGAACGGTTCCGGGAAGGAACAGGCAAAGCTTCAGTTCATGGTGACTAGGAGCCATTTAACTCGGGTAAGCTAAAGAAATATGAAGACCTTATGTTTACAAAAGGAACCATTTTAAAATACAGTCTCTAACAAAAAAAAAAAAAAGGTGACTATTTTCCTGCAAAAAAATTCATTGAAAATTCAACTGGTTTCTTAACAGTTACTGTAAACTTGGATAAACCTGAAGAAAAAATTAACAGTAGAAGAGCAAAAGACAAGTATTTAATACTGCCTTAGGTGAAAATATTTGTGGAGGAAGCCCCACCCCCAACTTTATCTACTGACCTTTCTTTGGCTAAAGCCCACTCTGCCTACAGAAATGTAAGTAAGTCCATATATATATACATATATATATGAAGAAACTTTAAGATATTTCATAATAAAGCTACTCTGAATGTGCCCTACTTCCCTCCAGCTACACGGCCTATAAAGAAAGAAGGGCATAAACCGGTGCTCCCAAGGCAGGGCGGAAGGCAGCCAGACCAGCAACTCCCTCGGGCCTTGCATAGTACAGGAGAGCAGAGCCTCCTCGAACAGTCAACTATTGCAAAATCTGAAAGGAAAACTCCCACTTGACCCCCATGCACCCATATGGAACAAGATGCCACTGTCCAGTGCGTTAGGGTCACAGGGGAAATACCTACATATATGGAGATATTGACATGAAATAACACGTCAGAGGATGAGGAAGTCTCAGCATCATGCTGCAGCAAAGGGAATGTACCTTTCAGGAGGAAAGGCAGGGACCACTGAGACACAAAAGTCTGATTTGTGCTAGAAGGGCAAACTCTTCTCCATGTCCTCTTGTACTTCCTTCTTCACATTCAGTAGTGCAGCCCTAAGACCCTCTCATCTCACCACCAAGCAACAGGATACTGTCTGAGCTGAGGAGGACTGTCCTGCTGCCACAGAGGAAAAGGTCAGGGTCAGCTGAACAAAGCCTCCTATGGAAGCTATAACTGCAGAGAAGCTGCTGCGTGAAGGCAGTGGGGACCAGTGCCCCTGGAGATGACCAGAGAGCAAGAGGCCGAGTGAGCAAGCCTTGCACTCTGGATACTAAACGCGACCACTCCACGGTGGGAAGCCTCACGGCCTTCTCTGCACTGCTATGGGTCTTTATGCCAGGGTTCCTCTATAGACAGAGACCAACTCATTCCTTATTAGGTGGAGGCTCATAATCAGGCTCTTTGCGTTTTCTTTTTCACTGCATTATCCTGGATGACTTTGCTCGCTCTAAAGTTTGTCCGAGGGCCGAGTGTTGATTTAACTCCATCAATCTAAAAGTTAACTCAGCTGGGGAAAGGAAGGGATAAAGAGAAACCTAAACCACACATTTCAGGAGAGAAAAGTGAAATTTGCATTTTTTGGATTTATAATTTTCATCTAAAGTAAAACTCTCTCATCTTTACAGCTCTGTGGCAGCAGTTTCTTGTCATGGCCTGCCCTGCCTCACCACAGAAGCAGACTGTAAATCATTCCCCAGAATATGCTGAATTGGCTTGTACCTTCCATTCAGGCAACAGGGTGGGTTGAGACAAAGTCAGGGCTATTACATAATGCAAAGGAATGCACCACGGGCAGAATGGATTCAGAATGAACAAGGAAGAAATAATAGAGAAAACAAACCATTGAAAGATTTTGGCAAGGTTCTTGTTCACAAAATAAGTCAAAAATTAGTGAAAAGTTATAACTGGGAATTTTTCAGAACAAACAGTTTAAACAAGTGTCACAGATGTAAACTAGAGAACCGCAGTAAGTCACATTTTCATTGCTACTAAGGCTGATCAACTCTGATGAGGCTGCTTTAGACCTAATATGGTGTGCCAGGGAGCAGAATTTGGCCCACTATATCTTCTGTAACAGCTGCAGTTTTCTAATTAACCTAGCTTTTATCCCATTTATCTCGTTGTATTTACTCTAATACTTTTAAATCCATCTAGCTGTAAATTAAGATTAGTGGAGATTTACTGATGCTGATTAAAAATATATTGTTCTGCAAAGATTATATAGCGTGCATGAATGTACTATTTGTCAGCATTTACAAACCCTAACTTACATGTATAAAACTATACTGCATATGCCATGATAAGATCCTTTATTTATTCAGAAGTATTGCAAACATTTATGTACGTACTTAATTTGGTGTCTTTTTGTACCATGAGCTAACAAAGACTATAGGGAAAAGAAGAAATCAGAACAAGGGCATAAATGATTCTAATTACCTACTGTTATGTTAAATATACAGGGAAGTGTATGCAAAACTGGAACTTACAGCCATTTATAGTACAAGATAAAAAGAATGAGGTATGCAAATATTATTTTTAGCTGCTAGCAAAATGACAATACTATAGAGCCCATCCTGCAGTAAGGTAACTGTTTTTTCTTCTTCTTTTTTATTTTTTTAAATTATTTTCTTCAGTGTTAATATTTTACTTACAATACATTTTCCAGAACCATCCTGACATCTATTTGAATTTCCATTGCAGTTGCAGGGAACACAGCGTCCAGTAAATAATCCTTTATTCTCACGATAAAATCCAAGGCCACATTCCTAGATAGAGACAGAAAGAGAGAAAAAAACAGTGAAAGCTGATGAAAAGAAAGTTTTCACAGGTTATGGGATGATAAATTGTTTGCCATTTCCACGGAGTAGTGGAGGTATACATTTCCTGACAAGCTCTTCTAAGCCCGTTTAAATAACAAGTATTTTAACTCAGTAAATGCCAAAGAATGGAGCTGAAGCAGTTTCAGCCTAGCATCTGAAACTTGTGCTCTCCATTTTGTGGTTGTGATGTACAGTCATCGTTTTGACTGAGCAAAACACATTTCCTGTGGCTGTCTACAAAGATATAGAATTTGACTTTTAAACCACAAAAAAGATTTGGATATAGATTCATACTAGGGTGTACTCAAAGAAGAATATATGGAAATCTCATATATTAGCTAGCGGCTATATGAACTCTTGATAATAATTTAACTAGAGTGTATTCTTTGGAAGTACTTCTAATGAGATACCTTTTAAATGAATTCATCATGACTTCCAAAATAAGTCTACCTGGAGCTATATGAAGCCATGATTAGGTATAGCTAGATGATCTTACAAAACATAGAGCGCTCTAGTTTCTAAGTACAGGCTTGTCCCAGAGACCTGAAAAGTATGAAAAGAATGTTCAGCCACTGAAAGCATATGAACAGAAATACAGCGTGCCAGATCAAAGTCAACTTTAAATAGGGAGCTGAAACAGAGGAACATTATGAATAAAGCAAGAGATAATGTCGTTAAGTGTGTTAACCTACACCAGGTAGGTAGTAACTAATATGTTAAAACCAGTCTTGTTTGGCATGGGTGTAGAGGAAGGGAAAGTACAGGGAATTCTTCCTGGGCATGGGGCCTTCCCGTATGTAGACCAGCCACACCAACCACAACAAAAATGACCGAGCATAAATTGATCTCTGCTTCTATTCCCCAAGCTCCTTTTCATTGGTAACTAAGCTGGTGCAGTGCAAGGAAGATCACAGTTTGTACTGATGCAGGGAGAAAGCTGTGCTCCCACGCAGCAAATACCTCCTAGATTCTTGCTGCAGGCAGCGTAGTCCTGCACCGTACTTGTACCTCACCTGTATATCACAATTAGAGGCTGGCCCCAATGACATTCAGAAACAAAGTGACAGTTGAACTTTAAAGCCCATAAACCTTTTCTCGTAACAATTGCACCGTCCAGATTGATGGGTTTGCAGGACTGGGCCTCAAATCATGTTCCAGTTGGTTGAAGCATAAGCATTTGTGCAGGGACAGAACTAACTAGTGTTTTTATCAGCCACATAAATATCAAAAAAAATTCACCTCTTCCAAAGCTCTTCCAAAAGGAACATTGAGCTATTTAAACCAGATGCAGATAGCACCTTTGCCTTCTTCATATATGGAAAAATGAGAAAAAAAATATTCAGACTACTAATATCATCAACAGATCTTTTAATATTGACTTCAGTGCGAGCAAAGACTGAACTCAGAATACGCATCCTCCCTTGAAATTTTTCAGATACATTTTAAAAATGCTGGATATGTTCCCTGAACAACAGGGAGTCAGTATACACAGCTTCTGAAGAAGCCAGGGCCTGAAATACATTAAAGAGCATGACTAAGTAAAATACAGGCTCTGGTGCCTATAAATGTTACTTACTAAAGTCTCTTTTTGGAAAGCAAAGTGAATCATTAGTTTTAGAAATATATCCAAATGCATTTAGACAAATCTATATGGCTTTTTCTTTTTTCGTATTTATGCTCTCTTTAAACAATACATTTGGAGTACTGGGAACTTTATTTTAGAAGCAATATTCTTAATATTGAAACATTTATGCCACAGGTAGGTAAAGCTCTAGGCACCTTGAAGTGCTTAGGAGTTCAGGCTAATTGTTTTCAAGTAAACTACAATTTAAATGAAACTTTTTGCACATACTTTCATTAGCAAAATACTTTGAGATAAAAGACTAGCCTTCTGATTGAGTAATTATTACATTAAATAACGTATAAGTTGTTCTAAAATTAGTTCATTCAAAAACAAAGGGAAAGAAGAAGGCAAGCAAGGAAGAGAAAATTAATAAATTACCTGTCTCAGGTTAAAGTCCCTTTGAACTTGTTGGTGCTGACTTCTCTTCTGAAGATGAGGAAACGATAGTTTCTGCTGCATATCTTGCGTGAAACAGTGCCCCACGGCTACGAAAATGACGAGTAGCCATCCTACATTCCCCAGCCTTCGTGTTTTGGCCGTCATTTCACTTTAGCTCAACTGTTAACACGCACTGTACTTTTAGTAGTCAAATGTTCTCTTATACTCTCCCTTCTTCTTCCAGCTTCTGACTCAGATTAATGAGGCTATGTGCCGTGATGGGCCCCACCTCTAAACTTTATACGTGAGTCAAGTCGTACAGCACACATTACAGTTCCTGAGGTTAACAAATAACTCTGCAATTCCCGTAGCTCAATATATACCTAACTTGGGGTGTGGCAGGCATCACCTTCTCCCCACCTAAAGCAGTCAGACAGAGCTAGCTGATTAGAATAGAAAATCACTGAATGAGTAATACTGCATAAACGCACAGTGCTTATGAACTACAGAGGTTTGTGTCTTGATCACTTCCTTTGGGCTAGGTATTTTCACCAATTTATGTAAAAAAGACCCTTAGTATACAAAGGCAGTACGTTGTAAGCAATGGGATGGCAGTAGGAATGTCAGTCAGTATTCCTCAATTTGTATGTGGCACAAAATCAAATGCGTGAAAAATAAGTTTCCAGAAATATTTCCAAAATGGTATTCAGCAGGTGATGAATAGTCCCTAAGTAGTGGACATACATGAGAGACATAAGTCAATTGTAAATGGCAGTTTGATCAGTCTCTCTGCAGCTGCTCTGGCCTAGATATTATTCTTTCAATCTCATTTCAAAAATGTTTTCAAGGTTAGTACAGTAATTGCTGCTTTATGGTAACCCTCAACCATTTTCTCAAAGAGTAATCCCTCATATTTTGCACACTCTGTACACTGCTTATCTCTCCACTACTTTTTATGTTGCCTTGGGTACTTATGCATGGGGAGAGTTGAGCTCTAAGCTAAGCAAAGTGACAGCCAAAAGATTTACAGCCACAGGAACAAATATCTGGAACAGGATACACTATAACTGAGGCTAGGATTTCACCACTCTTCAGGTGATAGTATTACTCTGCAATTTTCACAATATCTTTCACAAAAATATTTCCAAATGTTTTGCAAATATGGACAACTTAAGTTGTGAAATGTTTTCCTATAAAAATAGGAAAATGTTAGTCACTCCAACAGACTAGGAAAATGCCCAGAATTATCTGGGCTCAGGTTCCATCCCTTGGACCTTCTCATGCATTTGCCTACTAAATAAGGAACTATTTGTCATCAGGAACCTTCTCCGCATGTAGGGTCTCACAGGCTTTGATTAAGTCAGCTCGGTCCTTCTCTCCATTAAACTAAGTATAGACTGCCTCAGCCTCTCATAGGGCAACACAGAATTCCTCATTATAGTGCTTTATACATGTAAAATGAACATTTACAGTTCCACAAAAGCAATCAATGGTTGAATATCCCTACAGAGCTACTTAGACAGCAAAAGTAATTGAGCCATCAGAAAGGCACATACTTACAAGAATCATATTTAAGTATTTTAATAACTAGTTTCTCTAACTAAACCAGTATGTATAGCTGCAGGCAAGACAGAAGATAATGGTACAATATGGAGGCAAACATTTCCTACCTGACATGAGTCACCAGCATACTCAGGAGGGCAGGAGCATGTCTCTACATTGTATGCAACACTGCCACTTCCTGTGTTGGTGGCCTCTTCCAGCCCAACCTCACCAAGGGTTAACCGCTGAGTCTCCGTGAAGTAAAGGCCTCTGATGCGTAAGCCATCTAGTCTAGACAGGATCACCATCAGTTCTTCTCTGGATACAAGGTTATTGCTGCTGGAATGTCTGAAGTTTCCCTGTACATGAAGGATACAAAATGAGCAAAGCCCTGCAGCTTCTTCAAAAGAGTATCTGAAAAGAAGATAAGGTGGCAGAAAATGGAAAAAAATCAAGCAATAGACCCCTATAGTCCCAGGTACTGTAGCGGAATATAGAGGTCAGGAAAACAATTATCATGACTGTAAACACAGAATAGGTGGAAAAAGAATAATGAGCACAAAAAAAGGACATACTCTGTACTTTGCATATTTACTAGTAACTGATAGTATGTTCCAGCTCCCAAACTACAAAATACCTGAGAAAGATGGCTGCAGTCAATTGGTATGTGCTGCAGAAAGAAAAGTGGTAGAAAAATTTCTTGTGTGGGCAGACAGAAGGAAACATAATCAAGAAATAGTTCAATCGACTGACAGTGAAAACAGAGATCCAAAGAGATGCCGATACTGGGAAAGGTACATGAGAATTTGAAGTATCAAGAACTTGCCCTAAGACAGGAATAGTGATGAAGCAAACAGATTCCTTCTCAGTCGTCCAGTCATTTGAGGGACCATTCACCAAACCAAAAAAGGGCAGAAGAAAATTATTTTGTCTTTAAGAGTAAGCAAAGTCCTAAAAGTCCAGTCTTTCAGGGCTGCCTTCACACAGCCTAACTGAAAATGGAATTTGGCTTGAAGAAATATTATCTTTTTGGCTGTACATGGGACACAAACAACCCAGTTTGACTCTCTGAGCACAGACCTAAGGTAGGAAATACTAACTTCATCTGTCTAAATGCTGGGCACCCATTCTAAGTACCTAGACTCCTTTTAGAGTCAGAGGAGTTAAAAAGGCAACAGTTCATTCCATCTCTATTAGGCACACGTCTGGGGCTGGCATGAATCATCTTCCATTGATTACTGAGTCAGTATTACTCCACTGACTCTGGAAGAAGTGCTAAGGACTAGACTGGACAAGAGTTCTAATTTAAAGGTGCTAAAATTAGGTGGCATGAATCCCGAAACCAGGTTCAATGTGGCAGTAAAGAGACAAAAAGAATGTTATACTTAAATACTTTTTTAAAAATAAATTTTAAGTTTTTATTCATTAACATTATCAAATATGTGGTATTTCTGCACAGATTACTGGCATATTTTTATGTACCTAGGAGAAGAAAAAGGAAGGCGTGTGAAATAGACTCTTATCAACTAGGAAAATCAAGCTGTTCCATTTTAATTTCTTACCTCAACCAGTTGTACACGGCCATAATATTGACGGTCAGGCAGTGGGTTGTTAGGATCCACATAAACTACTTCCATTTGCTGGCCCTGCGTGAGAATGAAGATATAACATTACCATTTCACTACCTTTCATGATAAAGTGTTCAGATGCTGGTGAAGCTCATTAATCCTGTCATTTGGGAGATCAGAACTAAGTAATACTAGTAAAACTGTATGTCATTTTGTCAGTAAAGTAACATAGCAAGCACTGTGTTCTAGCGTCAGCAGGCTTTTCACTGCTTTTGCCTATTAAATTCTTTGCTTTCAGATAAAACACAGATAATTAAATTAATGCTTGCCAATTTTTACAGGAACTAGTTATTACTTACATTTTGCCTTTGCAAATAGTCTCTGCTGCTGCCCTTACCTTCCTGTTAGAAAACCAGCTGCCTCCTGATACATCTTTAGAGCTTGCCTTGAGTGTAATTTTTTGTTAGCATGAAAAGGTAAGTAAAAACAAAATTGGACTGAGCAATGCTCTTTGACCCTACATCCTGATGCAAAAACAAGTGAGATACTACAGAAGTACTTCAGGAAGCATATTTTCCAATGAGACTCCTAAAAGACTGAATTAATATTTCTAACGGCTTGAAGAAATAAAACTACCCAGTTGGGAATTTAAACAAAGAACCGAGGTCCCAATTTTGGCCTTCATCTAGTTGAATTAAAAAGCAGTTAACCTAAAATGCATTTTTACTTCAGTTCATCAAAGGCTTGTAATTACACTTAATTTTACACTGAAGAAAATTCTCACAGAAAAGGAGATTAATTACACACGGAATCCAGGATATATTTTGCAAAGCAAAGGCCACACTTGCTGAGAAGTATGCAAGGCATTAATTAATTTTTTCCACAGCTGCATTTTACAGAGGAAACTCTGTTTTATCTTTTTATTTGCTCTCAGGTCAGTAATGCTTAATAATACATTACTTTGTCAACAGAGATAGGTGTGGCGATGACTTTGAGCAAAATGCAATAAAATCACTTTTATAGAAGTGTAGCATGTTGCTTTAAAAGTTAAGCACACTACAGGAGCAAAATACACCATAGTTGTAGGGTAACAGAACATTAATGGTATTGGTATTGCTCGAAAAAAAATAGTACAAAACTTACTATCAGTTGTATATCAGGTCTCTTATCCAGAAGAACCATGCCTTCACTAGGCAAGCCAAATGATTTCACTTGGTAACTTAGGTAGCCACCGTATGAAGAAAGCTATAATAAAATACACAAGATTAGAAATACTTTGCTGCACTAGTGCTTGGTATTAATATAATTTTGTATTCAAGTTTACTGCTTTGTCCAGTACTGTAAATAATATATTCACTCTTTGTTCTTCAGACCAAATATGCAAATCCACGTCGCTTGGAAAAATTATTTTTTAAATTGTTTACTTTTATACCCGGCAGCACTTTGTGAGCAGTAATTGTTACTGTTATCTGGAAGGTCATCCGTACTTTTTTTTTTTTTAATACCTGGGATCATGTCAGCTGTGTCATGGGGAAATCACATGTTCACATGAATGTTCTCCATTCTAAGAGAGTCTAAGTCTGTTACCAAGATCTCAGCCCTATAAAAAGGTGGTAACAGACAAACAGACCTTTGTTGTTGTTTGAGTTGAAATTACCCCTCTTTTGGCTTAACTATTAATGACCACAGAAGGCCTCAAACCAAACCAAATAAATATACAGCTGCCCAAACCAAAGACTTAGGCAAGTATGTTTGAATGGTCTGACAAATAGATGAGCTGTTTATGAGTGTTTAGGAGTTTATGAGTGGTAAGTCAGAAACATATATAGAGGAAAAGAAGCTCCAGGCACAGCATAGATGGTTCTTCTTGTACCAAAAGAGCCTAGATGGAGGGTTTATGGGCTAGATGTAACAAAAACCTTGGAAGAGCAAGTAGCCGCCTCTTGCGGCTTGACCTCTCCAGGGCCCAAACAGGACTCTCTGCAGTCTCTGGGGACAGATAAGAATGCATCCAAGAACCACTTGATTCCATTACCAATTTTCCCTCCGCCTGCAGCAATCTGCCACACCTCAGATTTCCCTTTGTCTCCTGCATTATGAGAGAGAATGATATCATAGCCAAGTCACCCCTGTAAATTTTAGAAAATTTTATGCCTGAAGTGCGTACAGGCATTTTATTGATTTCCCCTGAAAAGTCTGTTCTCCATAAAAAATTAAGAACAAAATCTTCCAGGCACTTGGGTTGGGATGATCAGCATTAGAAGAAGCATTTAACTGAACTGAAAACAATTCGATAACTCTTGATTTTGACTAAGAAACTCTACATCACTAGCACCAAATGAAATCTGACTCTCAGATCTACAGCGGAGAGATGCTAAGTTTAGAAAAATCAAAAAGCTCAAAACCTTGGATGAAAGCATATGTAACAAGCTGCTAGGCTGAGATCGGGTGTTTTTCCAGATATACTAATTTCTTTTCCATCCCTTGCTGTCTGCCCTTACAGCTTATGTTTGTTTTTGACAAGGAAGGAAGAACTGCTTTGTCAGGTTTTAGTATTCTGCAGGTAAACTCCAGCATTTGCTGTATCATTTTCCTATATACTTTGATGAATTACAAACAAAACACAGACATCTCACTACAAAATTTGCTCCTTGGATCACAGGGCCATAGTTAATGCTATTATATTTAGCTAACTGCATTTTCAACAGTATCATTTGGAACTTTGCCTATATTTTGCCAACACAATCAAAACAATTCTGTATAAATAAATTATTCAAAAAATGTAAGAAAACTCAAGTCAGAACTAATTTCCTGTTTAACACACATTTTAGAACTGTACCATATCACAGGCTGTTATGTTGTTGGGTTCTTTCTGAATAAGCAGCATCTTCGAAAATGGAAAAATATCAGCCTTAACAGCAATCCTCTGTATTCTATATGTATACTATTTATTTATAACAGTAGCAGTGCATTAAATAGTATTAAATAGTGTTAAATAGCATTAAATAGTATGTTAAAACACACAGGAACAGAAAATGGGGACTGTGTGTTGTCTGAATTTCTCAGTGAGAGTTAGTTTATAGCCCTGCTATAGATTTCACACTTGATTCCCTTTTGACTTTGTAAACAAAAGACATACAGAGAAAAATATACTCTACTAAATATTAATGTTTCAGTGGAACTAGTTAAAATGTTAAGACAACGGAACACAGTGTTTTCAGTCTCCTCATACTGAAAAATATCTGTAGTGATCTTGTTCACATTTTCCAGATAAAGTGTTTTTATTGGAAATAGACCAAACACTGAAATTTTCAGAATACAATAAAGTGAATGATTGGGAAACTTACTAGCTTGTAAAACTAGCATCGCCACACTGCCAGTGCCCACTAAAATATAAACTTATGCATAACAGAAGGTAAAAGCAGAGCCAAAATACAACTATTTTATTTACAGTGCTGTCACTGTAAATAACTGCAAATCCTGACATGCCTGGTTTGATACCGTCATAAGCAACATAAAAAGCATAGCACTGTTCTTCATAGCTGTGCTCAGAGGGTTATTGATTACTTTACATTTTGTTATAGGAATAACAAAAGTCCTTTTAGTTTAACACCATGGTAGTAAACAAAATATATTTTTTTATGAAATTTCTTTAGAAAATAATAGCCATTGAAACAACAATCTCTTAAAAATAACAAAAAGCATCCTAACTAAATGTGCTACTTAATCACTTTGAAAGATCCTTACCTCTGTGCACAGGAGCAGGATGAAACATGCTGCTATAGTCCTTAAAATGGGACTAAGAAAAACTCATAAATTGTACCATTTTTAATACGATAATGCCTATTCCATTAGTTTTCTCTTGTAGGACAGGGGGATTGCATCTGAAAAGCCTGTACATGCTACAGCTAGCTGACAGCTATAGACCCTGTTAGAGCTGCAAATAGAGAGAAGTGGGAACACTGAGCCTGCAAGCAACCACTAGCTAAGTCCACCTGGTCAGTATAAACCCCAGGCCGAAATGCTGATAAACATTACCTGTTAGTAAGGGACTGCCTCCACACATGAGCAGGAAAAGCAGCAAGTAATTCAAAGAACACAAAGATTAGAAACCCAGAGGCTGCTCTTCCCTTCAGGAAAGCTTCACCCAACACAGATAGTAAGTGTACATACAGTTAATGAGCAAAAAATGTAGTGCTGGTGTCATACAACCAAATAAGACACCTTTAGACCTTTCACTCCTTCTTTTAATCAGCCTTTCCAGCAACATATCAAAAACAAAGGGGGAATGTTCATTGACCGTTGAGTACTTAATCACCTTTTATGCCTTTGGAAGTCTGCCCAGAAGATATTCTTAGGGAGTCTAAAGGATACTCTGGCATTGGCAAGCTCTGTGTATTCTGAGTTTCAGAAAAGTGCCTGAAGGTATCAGTTCCCCAAACCATAGCTTTGACCGTGTTGCTTATGTAAAGATCACCCTGACACCCAGCAAGAAGATTAATTCTATACTATTAGTTATAATTTTAACACAGTACTCAAATGTTGTGATTCTTGGCAGGTCAGGGTAGAGAGGTAAGAATCTATTGGGGGAAGAGAGAGAAATATATCTAAGATAGACAAGCAGACTTTTTATCAGTGGTGTTGGCAAAAAATGAATGCTTAATATAAAAACAGATGAGTTAGGTGTCACTCACCTTCTCTCCCAGGTAAGATGGTGGTGCCTTCCAGTACAAACTACGCACTGAAGCAGGCAATTCTTGAACATCAGCCACTACGCTATTACTGACTGGATTGAAGGTTACTGGAATGTCAATGTTTTTATTCACTGTCTCCAAGCGCCAGTTCCTCATGTCCACAAACTAACGAAAATACATAACGGAAATAAAAGCTTGTTTTATCTTTTCCCAGGATCAACTAACGAGGCAAAAATGGTTTGACTCTATAATTCCCTGAGAATTAAATTCAGCCCCTTTAGAGTCAGCCTAAAGCCTTTGCACAAAAGAGAGCACGAATGGGACAGATATGCCAAAGCTATGGGGATGCAGGCATTTGGTTGGTTAGCTGTGAACTAAATTCGGTCTTCAGTCACATGAAGACACAAGCCTTATGGAGGTGACTAAGAATTAATTTGGTGACAAGATGACGAGGACATAATTCGCAGTGTATTTTTATGTTCATTCCAAAACCAAGCCAAAGACACTAACCAAAAAGACAAAGTGTGGACCTGTTGTAGTAAGGTAAGGTAAGGTAAGAGGGAGGGAGGGAGGGAACATGGCAGGATACTATGGGGAGGCAGGCAATATAGCCTAAAATTCTGGCTCTTTATTACTGTACATTTCAATTTGGCTTTTTTTTCATGAAAGATCAGACATCTTCTTATTTACCATTACACTCCTGGAAAAACAACATAACGTATATGGACCAGAACAGTTCACAAAGCAATATGACAAAAAGACAGACATGTTTTCAAGAATAGGCTTTTCAAGGGCAGGCAACCACTGGGTGAAAGCTCCCTAAAGTCAATAGGAGTTTGCCACTCACTTCACTAAGGCCAGATTTACATCCTTTGCTTGTAAATGATAAAGTGCCACAATCTGAATTGCATCTCGTCTATGTCTAAGCCTAAACCAAACTCCACATTCAACATTTGTGGACTCTGCTTCTCTTTTCTCTTTCTCTTGCACTGTTTCAGGCAGCTGTTCCTTATGTTCAGTCTTCGGCCACCTTACATTGCTTCTACTATTCATTTATACTACTGTTACTTAAATATATCACATTTATTGTCTCCTAGTGATTTGTAAGCAAACAGGTGAAAAAGGCTGTTTCTGCTGAAAGGCACTTTCAGACTATACAGAAGTCTTAATGCGGCTGCATCATAATTACTATTTCTTGTAGAATATTTCTCATCCTTAGCTACTAATAAAACATCATTTCAGTTTTGGAAGAAATCTGGCATTTGCTCAATGGGAAAAAAATGCAGGTTTACGATAGCAAAGAAAAAACTATTGAATACACCTTGGTTCTGCGATGATTTGTGCTGCGACAGTTGCTGGTTACCCCAAAACAAAAGCAAGAGGTGCATCCTTTGGGATTAGAAGGGTCCAGATAAAATGATCCTGGTCGGCACATATCACATTCTGCACCTTCAACGTTCTCCTGTTAAGGCACAGTTGAAAGAATTCTTAGAATTTTCCTTGTGTTATTGGTGAGGCCCCCAAAATTTGCCGATAAAGCAAATCTTCTAACAGACTATTTATTTAACTATATGGAAGTACAAATGAAAATGTATGCTTGTCTGTATATACCATATTCCAAATGCAAATAAAACTAACTTCTTTAAAACTACCTTAGTTGCGAGCTGGTTATGCTATGAGCTATGAGTTAAGCTATGAGTTAAGCTATGAGCTTTCCAGCGTATAACATGAACTGCTGAATAATAAATATTAGTCAGAGCTGTTGTGCATATTAGTTACAGCTAGTAACTTCCCTGCCAAAACCCTACTGCCGGGTTTTCCAAACCTACAATACAAACAGTTGCTTGTGAAAGTCCACGTTTATCATACTCAATTATGCAAATCACAACAAAAGACTTCCTAGATATAATCATGTGGTGAAATGTCAACTGGCATAACATGGCTAAGAAAAGCATGGGACCTGGTTAACATCCAAAGACTGAGATGCAGATGCATATAGCAGATGTGTGCAGGGTACAGACTGTTTCAGTGAATCATCATTGAACATCTACTTGGTAGCACCTTAACCTCCTACAAAGATGATGACTGCCTGTGAAATTCACAGATAGTGAAGTCATTAAAAACTGCATTTATCTGCAGTCATGGTAATCTGTGCACTTACTGCAGTAAGTGGGGTGTGCATGGTGGGGTGTTTCTTTCAGCTGCATTTAATTCTCACTGAAAACCTGGTGATAAACTCACTTCATTCACCCAATTAAATATAAAATAGTCACTGATATGCAAATGATGTTTATGAATGCAGAAGTAATTTGATTTATCTGACCTTGCAGAGACAAATTCCTGTCTGGGGATCACAAACATCTGGCTTCGTTCCACCTCTGTTGCAATTACACGGAACGCAGTTTGGGAAACCGTAAGTACCAGGACCACACTGATCACACTGTCGTCCTTTTATTCCTGGTTTGCATCTTTATCAACAAACAAATACAGCAGCAGTTAGTTCTTCTCAGGTAGGAAGGAGCCAAGAGGAGGCAGGAAGAGAGGGAGGGAGGGAGGGAGGAGGAAGATTAAAACCAAGGGCAGATGGATCTCTGATGTGACTGCATAGCTGTGAAACAACTGCATCTCTTCCAAGGAAGAATAGCAGCAGATTAGTGTTGTCCTCAAATTCCAAATGTGAGAAGTACTGCAAGTTTTTATAGTGGTCATACAACTCCTGAAGGATGGATCTGATACTGAATGGTCTAAATACTCACAATGGAATTAGATTCCTGCAGCTGTTCAGTGTTTGCAGGGGGAACTACCCTCTGTATACACCAAAGTGTGAAACATGCATGTTATACACAGGTAAGCAGAGCTAGCAGAAGATTTATAACTGGAGGACGTGACAGAGCACTAGCCTAGGCACTCGCCTGCTCCCAAGGCGGAGAACCCCAGGCATATGGATAATCATGGTGACTTCAATCTGCCACAGTTAGTTTAAGACTGTTCACAAGGGATAAAATCCACTTTGCTCACAGTGAAGGCTGTGTGTCTTGGATTTATTTAGGTGAAGCACAGAAGATGCGAAAAACAACATCAAGCTATGAACAGGGCTTGAGATAGCAGAGTATGTCTTTCTTTGGGAGCAGCTACCTCCTACTGCCGTTGGAACAAACTGGCACAGACGGAAAAAACTAGTAAAAATGTGGGTCTGATGAACGTTCTTGCTCTTGTCCGTGCTGGCCTCTTCTCACAATCTGTCTTTACCAGGCCAAAACAGGTTTCAAGAGAGCAAGGATCCCTTCAAAAGGAATGTCTGCCACCACCACTAGCCACGCCTTCAAATTTTATCTATCTGTGATAACATGATTTTTAAAACTCCCAGCAAGCTGGTGGAGTCTCCTTTGGCTCTCAGCACGTTTATATGTACACCAACACTATCAATTAAACGGAAATAACAGTTGAAGTGTGTGGACAAGGTATCCCGCACTTTCTGTAACACATGGAAACGATTACTCAATTCAGCAAACAATTGGTGAGGTTTGTCAGTGCTTCTCTGAGTGTGTTATCCACACAAGCAGATAACTAGAGCTAAAGAGGGGCTTTGAACTTCATATAATCCACAGAAAAGGATTATATGAAAAATATTAATCACAATGTAATGGTTGGCTATATACTTCCGTAATCAGGCAAAAAACTATTTGCTGAATGTCAAATTTTGCTGCAGAGTTTTTTTTACGAATAAACTGTCATTTTCATAGATATTACCAATTTTAAACTGCAAGTCACCCTTATAATCAGGTAATATAGCTTTTCACTGAAACAGAAAATATGACTATTTCTGCCAAAATTATCCTCAATTTTACTGGAGCAGAAACATGCTAAGCCCTTTCTTTGAAGTATTAGATTTCATTTGACTGAATTACAGATTTATTTTATTTATTTTTGCATAGCTTTGGTTGTCTTGTATGAGAGCAAGGTATAGGAGAAATGAAAGCAGAGACCAATTAGAGTTAGAATTCATCAGGAAATGTAGACTATGCTACACTTTAATCCTGAACCCCAACTGCTATGGAAAGATATTCTTGTTTTGCCTTTGGGATAAGGCAACTATGAAATCAGTTGATGCAGAAAGGACAGACTTAGGAAAATAATTTAAATTCAGGAAATAATATATGTAGTCTCTGAATATGAGGTTTCTATCATATTTCCAGGACTAATGGCAGAGCAAGGAAAGATCATATTTTTTTTATTAGGACTCTGCAAACACATAGCCAAACCAATTAATTTCATCTAACTCTGGCTTTACGCAACCGACAGACTACCAAGTATTTGTGTTACTATTTAAGGATTCTTTATCTCCCCAAGCAAACAATAGGCATGTTTAACTACAGTCATATTGATGGGATGCGAATTTAAGAACATTCACAATTATTGTGTTTGTATGCCATACCTATTTTAGATAATGTAAATAAGAGAATAAAACTAAGGAATTGATTTTCATTTCAATATGCTGAGACACAGAAAAATAAGCATATGTCATGTGTAGGACATAATTTTCAGGGCAGTTATCACCTATGGCTCCAATGGAATAATATTTTCCACACACATAGCACCTATTATCAAAGTTTCCCCAAACTCATCACAATTGAGGTACATGCCTGGAAGTCAGGATGATTTGAGATCTGCTACTAACAGGACACTGGATAAGCCATATGAGACAAATAAAAATTCGGCGACTTACCCTGAGTAGCATGACACGTCACTGGTAAGCAGAAGTCAAGCCCAGGAATCCCAAATCCCACCATTAATTACCAGCACAAACCAAGTTTCCACTAAATATTTCAGGTATCCTTGAAGCAGCCAAGTTCTAACCGTTGGCTAGCACTGCTTAAACCCCTATTCATCATCATAAAAATTGCCTATATCTCCTCCAAATACCTGAAGAGTGATGCAAACCATTCATGCATTTTTATAATGCACATTTTTTTATATTAGTTATAAAGTGAGTTTAATTCAATAATGCAAACTTACTTGCATTGCCCGTTGTTTTTATCACATTCTGGACTTGTCATATTCACAACTCCTCTGCCTGAGCAGTTGCAGTTTTCACAGCCAACAAGAGGGTGATAGCTGAAATAATGTTCCTTGCACACTTCACATTTTGGTTTCACCGTTTGAGGAGGACAAATGCATTTACCAGTTACGTCATCGCAAAGACGCTGGCCACAGTTGCATACTAGGTCAAAGAAAATGTTCTATAAATTAATCACATCTCAACTTACAGTGACCAAACTTTACTGTGTACAAAACAAACCAAGAAAACCTTACAAAGGGCATAATTCTTTTCTCTCTTTCACCAGTTTTAAACTCGTGTGGCTTGTTTGACTCAACAATTATAATGATGTGAGAGTGACATGAACCAGGGTCACAGAAACTAATTGTGTGACTGTGACTGTGTTTCAAAGAGTAGCTTGAGATCCTGGCTCTTTTCCACAGATTGGTTCCTTATATTCATCACAAGCGTTATTATCGTTTCCCAAAACTTCCCAGCATTAAACAATCAATAGTTTTGGTGTTAAGGACACCACTTTTACAAGCAATGTTAATAAAAACAGAATATAATATCTGAGGAACGCAGCTGAGGAGTGTTGGTGTAATCCATGAGTCTGCTGATGTTATTAACAATAATGCTATGTCTCTGATTATCTACAGAAAGTCTTGAAGGCTGGGATACAACAGTAATAACTTGGAAACTGTTTCACAGTCAGTACAGAAAAACCCATTTGACTGGAAGAATGGCAATATGGATTTTAACAAGCAAAACTGTTAAGTCTCCTACGCATGATCAGACAACACGTGTGAAGGCACACTTCACCTTAAGCCAGGTGTGTTTAAAGGGAATGGGATTACTTCTGTTAAACTGAAACCCACCTAGATCTAAGCTAGCTCACTCAGCCTCTTGCAGGATCAAGGCCTATAAAGAAAGGTGAAGCTGCACTACCTATTCAATGAGGACAGAAGATAAAGGTCAGGCCAGGCGCTGAATAAGTCAGATCATATACTTACACTTGCAGAACGGAAATCCATAGTAGCCAGTTTGGCATCGACTACATCGACGACCAATGACATTCGGTCTGCAAATACACTGTCCTCCCACGGGGTTGCAGGTAGGGCTTGTGGCACCCGCTCTATGGCAGTTACACGGCACTGCTCCATTATTGTAGAAAGCCACTAGCGATCTCACAGAATCCTTACAGAAGGTCGATGATTCTTCTGGGCTATTGAAATTAAAATATAAGTCATGTAAGGGCTGCCACTTGGAAATTGTAATGTACATACTTCGCAGTGGTTCAGTGAATTTGAGTCCTGTCTTTAATAAAATTTCCTGACACAGGGATGGTATCTGTACACGTGCAGGGATGTACTTTAATTATAATTTGCTTAATTATCATTAGCAAATGACTTTGAACATGCAGGTAAGAGCTTTTTTTTCAAAGAAAGTGCATATATTAGTCATATCTGTTCAGACATGCCAAGCAAAATACCAAATACCAAAGATCGAAATACCAAAGACAGAAAGACAACACAGATTTTCCTCTTTTGTAAAGTGAACAATAAAGCTCTACCTTTACATTTCATTTACAATAGAAAGTCATGGAAAGATGACTCACGGAATTTTAATGGGCTAGCATAAGCCACGAAAAGCATATTCATGTAGCACAGGATTTTATATAAGTTTCTTTAATATAGAGTGAAAAGAGTATTACTTTACAGCTTGCTGACAAACGTTCCGTTTTTTAGAAAGTGATGCTTACTCAATATAAAAACTGTTTCCTCCACAGTGGCTGATAAAATCCAATGACTTGTCCACAGTCTTTTTTTCAAGAATTTTGTAACTGTAGTTGTCTGCTGGAACAACTAAGACATTTTCCTTGAAACAACAAGAAAATTGAATTCTAAATTTCAGAGAAAAACAGAAGAAATGAGCTAAGGCATTTATATGCTTAAATGTTGCTTCATTATTAGTTCTGGATTTTCTCACAAACCATAACATTTCAATTGAAAAAATAGGAAAATATATTTCATATCCTCTCCTCAAGCTGTTACACTACAAGCAGTGCACAATAAAAGCCGAGTGTTGCATCTGAAAAATTTAAAATATAAAAACAGTGTACAAGTTCCTAAAAATCTGAAACACAACATTCAAAAACAAAGTCTGGCTTTCTGGCTTTCATCTTTGCATCCATTTCTAAACGAAGGTTAAACCAAGAGGAATATCTCCAAGCACATTTGTGTAGTAAACTTACCAGAACAAGCATTTTTCCATCAGGTATCGTTACTGTAACAGAGACCTCAGGTTCAGAAACATCAAGCTCAATTTGGCTTTCTGCAATTACTTGATCCCGACAGCCAGATGTATGGGGGCAAAATGAAGCACTGAAAGAGCCTAGAAGAAAAGATATTGCTCAATGTCCCAAAATGCTGAGAAAGTAAAGGGAAAAGAACTTAGAATAAAGCTGGATGCTCACCTGACCACACGTGTCCTGCATCCACATGCACTTGTACAGGAAACACTGGGTGTGCTGGCTGATAAAAATGTACCACAAATACATATCTGCCCAAGCGGGGCACTCTCCCACTCAAGGTGATCTGGTTCTGCAGAAACAAGAACAGCTCTGGTAATATACATTTTTTTGTGAAATATATTTGTTTTTGTGTGCTGTGCTCTGCATTACCTATGTGCAATGAAACAGAGGGCGCTCAGCATCTCTCAGGAGGTTAACCACATCTTCCATGATTATGGCATTATGTCTGATACTCCTGTCTGTTTGCATGCCAAGCGTATCCTAATTCTTTCCTGCACTCTGTGAGAGTACTACACAGTTTAGAAAGAAGCTGGCATTTTTGTTTCTGTATCAGTATATTATCTCTTTGGCTTACTCAGTCTGTAGCATTTTGGTCATATCACCTCATTAACTTTTAATTCTCTTACAGTACTTGATCTATTTAGCTTTTCTAACAACATATTTTGTGACTTAGGAAACAATATTTTCAAAATATGAGCTACCTGTAACGGTGTCAAGGTGACTCCATTAACTGAGCGAGAAGGTAAAGGGGCGCTCAGGGGATCATACAGTATACTTCTCTGCACTTCGGAAATTTTTCCATCCCTGAATGCATCCAAAACCAAAGTCACTGGAGGAGTTTCATATACTGAGGGAACGCATGTTGCACTAAAAACGGAAATATATCAATTACTCTTGGGGTCAGGAGAATTCCTTAAGCATCATGAAAGAAAAAGCAGACAAATGGCAAAAGTTAACATATTAGAATGTAATACAAATAATAATGCAATAATAACTACAGCTACTCTTTGGAATTCTATGTAAATGCTAAGAAAGTAGACAAAAACAAGATGCAGAAATTTAACTCACAGAGGGGAAAGTGTAAATTAATTGATTTTATTTACTCAAAATTTCCATAAGCTGAACAGCTTTAATGGAGAAGATAAAGATGAAAAAAAGAATATGAGGCAAAGGTGATTAGGAGTGTTAAAAAACAATTAAGTAAATGTTAATGAATCCAGTTAGTTACACTCACCAAAATCTGAACAAATATTGAATTCTCAGTTCTACAAATATTTATGTACGTGCATCCTTTAAACATGCAAATTATCTCACTGAAGTCAATGCAACTACTTAAGTACTCAAAAGTTAACTACACCCTCAAATATTCGTAGAATTGGAGCCAAAATAAATAACAGTACTCCTTGAAAGCATCCTTATTTATCTACTGCTGTGTTTAACTATTTCTCCCTCAGTACGTTTAATTCCAAAGATCTTGATTGAGAGAAGTATATTCTAAGACTGCAGGAGAAAATATTATTTGATGGTTTCATGCTAGTCACTTGTGGTATTTGTTCATTTCTTGTAAGTACTTAACCAACAGCGATTAATCTTTACTCAACAAAGGTCCAGAACTGGAATGGCAAGTATGTTCCAGGGCCAGAATTGAGATGTATTTGCCAGGGCTGTGTGGGAAACCATGTGCAGCAGCCACTTATAAAACTATTAAACTGAGCCAAGGCTTGGAATCTTTCAACTTAGTGAACATTAAACACATTCACAAAATTAAAAATGTAGCCAGATAGGGCTTTAATAACACAACATAAATAAATAGTAAGTGCTATATGCTGCAATAGAAGTAAATGTAACAAGAGATAAAAGGCAAAATTAAATGTACATATTTTCATATTGGCTTTATTTTAAATCATACTTTTCATCCAGCTTCTTTTCCCCATTTTACTCAGAGTATAAATGCCCAAGAATGCAAAATTCCTTTGGTGAGAGGACAAACATTTCCTATGTTCAGTGCTAGAGAGCTATTCTCAGTAGTAAGACTGAGCAAGAGAATTAAAGCTGAGAATTAACGTTATGCACGCTTGGAAGCCAAAAACAGTCACCTACTTCCATCCCATTTACTATCCAGATTTTTCTGCTTTCTGTTTCAATTCAGCCATTATATTAGAAGTTACCATCTGGAAAACTATTAGACCTAGTCACTAACTCTTTCTGCCTCTCAAGTCTTGTAAATGGCATTTAATCTTACTTTAAGGCCCTTTCCTTTGCCAGATTAGTAGGAAAAAAGCCTCAGGATTAGATTCACAAGGGACACTTAAGGAAGTGCAACAGGAACTGCTCCCTAATTAGGAAGCTGCAGTGATAGCTCCTCTCCAGCTCAAAGAATACTAAAACATATGGAGAGGGGAAGAGTTTTGATAGGACAGAACAAGTGCTCTGCCCAACTTCAAACAGACTACCACTCAGCAGTCAGAGCCTCTGCTTGGGAGGTGGAAAGGTCAGGTCCAAATCTTCTCAGCAAACGGGAGACATCAACCTGGTCAACCAAGCTGCATGTGCTATAATTATCAGTCCTCTACAAATATAAAGGACTCCTTTATGCATCACCTAGCAATGCTGTACATGATGAATCCTGAGGGCACACCTACCATACAGGCCCCACAATGAGATGGGCACAGGAATGGCTTGTGTGTGAAGTGAGGATTTACTCGTTGAGTAGTTTGATAACTGCTGAGTTGTGCTGGGGAATTCATGAATTTTGGACAGCTCAAAGGGCTTTCACATCCCTACCCTAATATAACTTAAAGCCATTTTAAAACAGGTGTAGTGGTCACACACGGAAGGAAACTCCAGATAGAACTGTAACCATTTCAGGCCTGGTAATTCATGACTTGCCACAGAAGTACCAATGTTTTTCCAACTTGGACACCTTTCATACTGTACGCTATCTGAAAGAGTCGTGTTTTCTAAGGCATTAGCACCGGATAGTTCAGACAGGCTAGGAAGAGGCTAGTATTGACAGAATCCTGTGAAAAGACTGCCTAGATCAGCTTTTTACAAATTCTACTTTGTAACACTGGCCTGCCGATCATCTCTGAGTCACTGAGCAAAGGTTCATAAAATCATTCCAATTCCATTTAGTCTGCCTTTCAAGATCTTTTTCAGAAAATATGAAGAATAAAAACAAGCAAATTACCTTCTGTCATGGGTACTCTGGTAAGCAGCTATGCAGTGTATTTTAGGCTCCACATATTCTAGAGAAAATTCTTCAGTTGATATAATACAAACTTTATGCTGAAAAATAAGCACAAGGCACAATTAGCAATTCATGTTTTACAATAACAAGACTAGGCCTAAAAGGGGAGGATGGACCCTCATTTTAGCACAAGGAGACCTGAGACCAAATCCATGTTCTGCCATGGACTTCCCAGAACAATTTTGCATCCTTTTACCTGTCTGCACCTGAATGTCTCAGTGTTTAATATCATGTTTCTGTCCTTCTCAGGGCAATGTTGGCTGTTAAGAGGTTAAATAGATCAAATTGTAAGGATACATATGGTAATGGGAATCACAGAAGACCAGCTCAGATGGTCAGAAACTAGCCAAGGAGCATACAGTGTGGGAGAGAGAAGCCCTCATCACTGGCATTAAGGCTTTCTTTTTGGACCCTGAGGGAATTCCTGGGCTTTCTGAAATGCACATACCAACAGTCACTAGCACAAAGACCTTAGGAATCAGTTTCAGTGAGGCCAAGATTTCTCCCAGTAGATTCAGGACTCATCTTAAAAAAACCATTGAAACTTCATATGATGCTTTGGACTACAACTTCACATTAGCAAATGAAGCTAAAGCTGCTGGGATACAAACTCCATGGTCATATTAGCACAGCAGCTCTTCTTTTTTCCCCTTCCTTCTGTCTTTTGCTAAGTGCAGTCTTTACATTTAACACAGAGAAACAGCACTTCCTGTATCTCAAGAGAATATTCAAAATTATCTGACAGCAAGTTTATTCAGAGAAAGAAAGTTAGACTTTAGATATAAAAATAAAGAGACTCTTAGCATCAGAGACGTACATATGTGGAGATACAGCCTAATAATTTCAACAACTTTTGGACATGGATCTTGTTAGCACAACAATCACTACAGGAACTAATAAATAGTTCAGTTGATATTTGTTAACACTGAGCACTGCCTCATCAAAAGAAGAAAGCATGTATCAATTGCTGTTTCTAATAGTTCCATGAAATTTCTCTGTGTTTATAGTTGGATTTCAACTTCAGATTTTAATCGAGTGCACAAATAGCCCTGTGTTTCTAAAACAGAAAATACCAAAACAACATAGAATAAAATTCATTGTCCAGAAAAAACATATTACTGGTTTGTCCAAAAGATGGCATTCAAAGCATTTCAAAGTTCTATTATGTCAAAAATGAATGTATTCATTACCTGAGATTTTGTAAGAGATCTAGCAAACTCCCATAAGAATTTTGAGGATGAAAAAAAAGTGAAAGAGACGGGAAAACAAGTATAATGATGAAGAACAGAAGCTACCCAAAGACCTTTCATTTAAGCTTTACATGTAGAAAAGAGAGAAAAATTGAAATAAAGTACAAGAGTGTTGGCAATACCTTTGCCAAGAAGGACAAATTTCTGTTTATCCTCGAAACTGAGCACTGACTCAGTATTCCTTGAATACATCCAAATCAGTATCTTCAAAAAAATCTTTCACATGACTTTACCATAGAGCATGTGAACAGATGGAGAAGGGTATTCTCCCTTTACCTTTTCAGGGAAAAAGCAAACAGAAAAGAAAAAGGAAACTTACCAGAAGAAAATTAATTGATGATGCCTTGAGATGTATCTTTGTATCCGCTAGAAGGTCATAGGCTGCAATGCGATTCCTATCATCAACTACCACACTGCGACAAAGGAAACTGTGAGATATAAAGCAGAATTAAAAATTAGCCTCCTGCCATTACCATATTGTTTATGCTGTTCCAACTGGGACTCAGCTGCTAGCCTTTTGGCTAGCCTCACCACTGGTGCCTAGCCATTCTGCTGGATCGTGGGTAATGACTACCTTTGGCCACTGGTGAACATGCAGCATCCTCGCTGGTGAGACAAACGCGGTACCAGCTATAAAACGCTGCTTGCCCTTTGTAGAGTCTAAACCTCCAGACTTCAGCTCATATCTCCGTTTGAGCTCCCACTCTAAGTAGGATGTCAATAGAGAGGCACATACACACATTACCCGCAGATGTTTCCAAGCTACGTAACAAACCATGTAACACTGTGCCTAGTCCATACTCCTGCAGGTGCCAGTGCATAGCAGCTGCTGCATTCCACAACTGCCACACGCTGTTCACCGTGTGGATGAGCAGCTATCACGCCCGCAAGGGCAGCTGGGCAGTTCCTGAGTTTTGGAAGCTATCTGTACAGTGAAATACTCTTTAATACAAGTGAAAAAACAAAGGTCTTTCTCTTACTGATTACCTTTTATCAGCTGTGCATCTGTGGTAAAGACAAGAATATACAAAGAGGAAGAGTCTTGCCAAAGGCTTCAGATACTGCCCTGTGAAGGGAACATGATCCCTGCAGTTCTCCACAAGTGGCAACAGGCTCCGCTTTTGCCAAAAGGTGGAATTCACAAAATGCTCTCATTCCTTAATTATCTAGCTAAGCTAGCCAGCATGCTGTGGGTGAAAGGCTGTAATCACCACACACTTCCTTCTCTATTTATCCACTTGGAATTAGAGCATATGAGAGTCTTACTCTTCTTCAGAGCACAGCTCAGAAATACAGGGGAAAGGACATTTAAAACAGAGAAATACAGCTGCCTTGTTTGTGATTCACGAGAAGCTAAACAACCTAGTATCTCTGTGAATCTGGAATCTGTTCTCTTGCAACGTTTTCTTAGGAATAATCAAGCTCACAGAGCTGTAAATAAGCCTGGCACAATTTATTCATGATTCTACAAGGTACAATTTAACTGCATGTACTTCACTATTTGATTTCTTGACTGCTTTATTTTTAATAGAAATGACAAGCAGCTTCCAGCTCAGGAAAGATGACACAGCAACTTATCTGCAATATAACCTTTCACTTCCTGCAGAATGGTAGCAGAAGGGATTTACTGCATTGCTACATAAAATAGCAAGGGCTTTTTTTGTATTTTCATGAGTAAGTTTTTAGCATATCATATAGACAAACAAATATGTTCAAAATTGCCATAAAAATGTGTTAGGGGAAAAGTAATAAACCAGAAGCTTTAAAAAAAGTGCTTTGGGGTTCATAAAGTGTTACATAACAGGTTAAAATAAGAACTTTCCCCAGCAATAACCTGACAAGGTCACTGCTCCATATAGCTCTGTTCTGTATCACAAACATGCTGATGCAAAGAATTTTTCTTACAGGGCACTTTCCTACTTTCCTAAGCCTCCAACATGTCAAACGCTTGGCTCATAGGAAAAAGAGATGCACATAAGTAGTCCCCTGGCACTGGGCAGGCTCTCCCAAGGCCACAGATATCTGCAAGTTCACAATCCTAACTTGAGTCATCTGCCGAAGTACTGAAGTATCAAAGATGATCCCATTCAAGACAGACAGAATCTCTCCTGCAGAAACATCTGCAGTAAATTCAGTAATCAACAAGGCTAAAGAAGCATAGCGCTTAGACTTTGTCTGTAGCCTAACAGCTTGAGAGGATGGCTACACTGAGAATTACAGGGAAACTTTTCTACTCTTTCTTCAGCAACTCTTATGAGAACTGATGGGAATACTCTTGTAAACCGGCTGCACCTTTTTTACAGCTAAAGCCCTCAGACATGTTCTTAACCATATAAATATGAACGGTGTATGCGTATGCAGCCAACAGAATGATACTCTGCAATGGACTCTGAGATTAATAGTTTGTAAGGATTTATGAGCGTATACAAAAAAGTAATCCTTTGTATAGAAAAACAGTTTGCTAAAGCAGCCATAATACTAAACGTGCTAATGGCACAAACAAGAGGGAATTGAAAATCTGTACAGTACCCAGAGAATCATATATTTGCTTCTAAATCACCCTAAAATTTGAACAAGCTATACAGTGAAATGCATTCCAATATATAAAAAATACACGTCTTAAATGGTAATTTAACCATTTACTGATTACTTCTGAAATTCTTACCTGTATTTGCAACTGTATATGTTCAGTCTGCCTTCGGTGACAGGTCCAGGACTATTTATTATCACCTCAGCAGTGTATAACTGATCCTCTTCATTGGCATATTCAAAAACCAGAACGTAGCGACTGACTTGAGGAACATTTATGGTCATCTGAAAACTGACCTAGGTCAAGTATCATTGAAGAAAAAAAAAAACTCTTTAGTTTTTTCACCCTGTTTCTTGCAGGAGACTCTCTTTGCCTGCCCTGCAAACCAAGCAGTCTGCATCAGTCCAGAGCCAGTGCTGCATTGTCTCAGCAAAAAACAATCCAGCTTTGCAGAACAGAAGCAACACTTACAACTATCACCTTGTCCGGTAACTAGAGGCAGCAAATTCAAGAAACAGCTGACATAAAACAGCTCTAGGAAGGTGGTAAGATAAATCTAGGAAATTATTATATGTTACTATTTCTACTCTTCCCAGTAGGGGCTACCAGCAAGGAAATTTCAGTGATAAATACTAAAATTTTGTTGGTATAGGGAATTATCATGTCCATCTCTAAGCCATCTTTAATAACAAAACAAATTGATGCTATTTCTCCACTGAAAAAAATACTTCCAGGAACACAATTCCCACTAGAGCTGTGCTGTATGTTGATTCCTTAAAAAGAGTGAAAGTATCTTCCTCAGGAAATAGCCAATGCCAGTTTCTGAAGCATCAAGTTTTCTTTGAGTTCACCCGTACAAATTGGTTAAAATTGTATTTGATGCAAAATACTTCGAACTGGTTGCACAAAAAGTGCCGTAGTTACAGAAGTTTTTGCTACAAATTGCTATATAATTCTTTCGAACTTTAAACTTTTTCTCAGTATTCCCTTAGGCTATGTACACTTAAATATGCAAACTAACTGTCAACAGCCACCTGGGCTTCACTGCAAATACTCATACCCGTAAGGTTTTGCACATGCATCAGTGATGAAGCATCAGGGCCTCTGGCATGCAAGCATTCTTGTTGCAGCTGGTGTTTTTAAAAGTAACTATCAGAGCACAGTAGTAGAGGACACAGTCATTTTACATGTAATTATCATGTACTTGATTAAATACTTTATTTTTACCAATCACTCTTCACTCTTCTGATTTTTCATTTGATAACACGTTTCTCTTTCAGTGGACCTACAGTAGTGGCAAAACTGCTTCTGCTTGCTTTTTTCAGTAAAGCAAATATTTTACGTAAGTATAGCTATTTAAGAAACCAAAAAATGATGAGTTCAGAGTGACGTGTTTACACTATTATTGTCATTATGCCACTTCTGCTGCAAAATATTTTTGTCAGAGTGAAATGTTCGCTCTTCCTACAGCTATAGATCTGTCTACATTGATCTGTCTATACAGAACTGTATAAAACGTGGAACTTGGCTCAGAGTCTGTTTTAGGGATGAGTTAAAGATTTGCAAATCCAGAGCTACGGATCTGCAGCCTTTCTAGGCCATTAGGTTTATAACTAACAGTGCAGATGGCACTGTTAGAAACCATGCAAGAATCTGACCTCTCTTCCGCTGATATGGGACATCACTGGATGATCAGGAGTTGGCTGTCGAACAGGTATTTTTCTGTATTCTCCCCCATTTGTGAAATATGCTGCTTCTGAACCAAGGACACAGGAGAATCTGCTCAATGGCAAATGCTGATAAAGCAAGCAGCTTAAACAAAAAACAAAACACAGGATTATTACTGTTACATTTACAGCAGTGTAATAATAAAATAATCCAAGCCAATGGTTTATTCTGTAGCACATATACTAACTTCTCTGTCGAAGCACGTCCTGAATAGGTGCAAGGTTCAGTAACTTGTAACTGCAAGATGGATGCTTCATAATAATCACTAGGTAACAGCACCATATAATCCTAAGAACAATGCAAGACCATGCAGAAAATTACAAAAGGAACTTCATCAGACTTTCACAATGTAGCAATGATCAAAACCAACCACAGTAATGATTTTTCAGAGAATATCTGCAAGACACATGTGCATTTCTTGTTGTTACATGAAGCAATAACACCGTAACATGGCTCAGTAATTCTGCTTGTATCTTCATAGAGAGGGGATGAATGCAGCCGCACTGTGAGCGGGGATTCTCTTCAGCAGCTCTCCCACCATGTGCTGTACCAAACAGTGCACATACAGGAGCCTCCCCACCATATTTGTGCCTGGCAGGAAGTAATCAAGGCCAGGGCCTCTGACTCTAACAGCAAAGGCTCCTGTTGCTTAAGCTTTAAGCTAAGAGACCCAGATCTCCTACTGCCAGGCCGTGCCTTGCGGATTTATAAGCCTCTAAGTCGTCCAGTCACCAGAGGGGGAGAGTGAGCCATTTGGCATGAGCTTTAGCTGCCTAAATGGTTTAGTACATACAGCTGGCTCTGCACAGTTTTCACTCATGCATATAACTCAGCGGTGTGTGCCTCTGCAAGGGGGATGTGCGTATCTCAGCTGCCTCCATAAAAACATTCCAGAAGATGCTTCAGAAGACAGTATGCTTTTACTCTACCTTTCCCACTTAAATCAACATATTAGAGCTTATTTATAAAAACTTTTATCGTGAGAAGCAAACATGCTGAGTTAAGATCATTAATAAATGCTTTTTAAAAAGTGTTAGTAAAAAAACCCGGCAGAATAACCACTGTCAATTTCAGCACGGAGTATGTCTGCAAGCTGTCTAGTAACGTTTGACTGGGTATCCCACAAACTTAGCAAAGCCCCAGGCTTGATGACAAAAGGCATTGGCTACTCATCAACCCTAAATAATATACAAATGAATTTCTGTGTGGTACCTTTGTGATCACACATGTTTAAGGTTTTGCGTAAATGATCACCTGAAACATTTTATCTTTTTATCATAACTTCTCAGAACTGCTACCATAGATAATTTTTCCATTTTTCAATGAGTGAAGGGTAGGTAACGAAGGGAGGACAGCAGCATTTAGAAAATGACCTGCTAATTATGCAGCCCATCTTGTAATATTCTTCTGAAGAATCTTTGCCAAGAAATCTTAGCTGCTTGATCATCTGCATCTAAGCCAAGCTTTAGATATGTGAGAATTATGAATTCCTGTGAGCTTTTGTGCTCAACCAATTGCGCTTCATATTAACATTATTTTATCCTCCGAAGGTAGAGATTCCAGGTAGACTGAAGCTCTCTAAGTACATTAAAAACTTAGAGCAGGTGAAATTCAGAAGGAAAAAAAAAGACATGAGAGGCAGAACTGTAAGTTTTCTTAACGATATTCTGCTGCCATACTTTTTTCATTAATGCTGTATTTCAATCCCTTGCAGAGTTTTCCTGGCAAATAACTCCAGAGCAATACTATCATACAGGCTTCAAGCACTTGTTCTCCTCAATTGTTTTCTCACCAAGAGGACTTCCTCTGCCATTATACTGACAATCCATGTGCCTGGAACCAGTGAGAAAGGTTCTGTGAAGCTTTTTCCTGGGATTGTGACAAAAGCTGGCTCCTTGCTGGGTGGGAAGACAAATTCTTTGCTCTGAGCAGACCCTGTCAGCAAAAAAATAAAAGCAAAAAAATAAGGGACTGTGTGAAATGTCTCTACTAATTTAGTGCTCAGGACTGATGATTTCATCCGTTAAACTTGGTCTAACAGGAACTGATCAGTGCTCCTCTTTCAGTATGCATTAATAGGGCTTCCCACAACACACAGTAAGCTACGGAGCTATGCATTATTGTCCTCTTTTTTCTTTTTAGTCTTGAGCAAATTGGTTCTGAAAAGCAGAGTTCTTCTCCTGCCACGGCCAGTTGGGCAAACTTCTGAAATGCTCACTTCACTTCCCACTTCCATTATTTTCCATTCTATCTGCCTCTGCACTGACGCGTGACACATGCTCAGCTGATGAGGCCTGTTCTCATGTGACTGCCAGCAGATATTTCAGATACAAGAGGTTCTCAAAAGCACCTAAAATGTTTGGTTACAAACAGTAACTGAAGCTGACTTCTAGGCAAAGATAACATACAACAGAACTTGTAATTGCAGAATACTTTTGAAAGAAGAGACATGAGGAACAACTGTTATGAATATTAGAGCCTTCTTCTTTGAACTCCAGACAGGAGCTTGTGCTTCCATCTGCCTCCCTATCTCCCAGGCAATATAACCCAGACCAAACTGCCAACCGCTGCCACTCTGCTGGGAGCTATCAGTCAAAGCTAAGTTTTGCCTCTTCCAAATTACTGAAAGGATCTATGACTAAACTGCATTCACTCCCACAGAATATGCTGAAGTTAGGCATAATAAGAGATAATTCTGAACACAGATTTGATATTTCTCTGTCATTCAAAGGTTCTGGAGTACTCTTTTGTCAAAACCTCAATCAGTGACACGACATTTTGCTGAGAGCTAACTTAATGGCTTGGGTTCATCATTAAACGAATATGATTCATGGAATGGAGACAGCAGTCACCTTTAAACTGAAATATTAAGGGCAACTAAACAAAGATAAGCACTGTTATTCCCTCATTAAAAGCTTCATAAAACCTACAGTTCTGAGCCTCCAAATGCAGAACTGAAAGTACTGAATTTGGCAAACATCTGAAAAACAGTGATTAATACTGTAAGCAGAGCCTTCATGCAAACACAGCCACATCAGTTACAACAACATATATCAGGAAAAGCACAAAACCACTGACACCGTTAAAAAAATGCATTTTAAGCAACATTACATGTTTGACTCAGCTGCAGCTCGGGAAGGCTTCTCTGATCTAACAGTTTTCTGTTCTTTTGTGCTGTTAAGTTGTACCTACCTGTTTCAGGCCAAGATTGACAAGCAGATATGCGGCCAGATAATGTTGCATCTCCGGAGTTAATATATCTCAGGATAATGCGAAATAAGTAGAGGTTTGATTTTTCCACATTCAAAGTTATCCTCACTTCGTTCTGTAAAAGGGAAGTTAATAAACAAAAACAGCCGTAAACTGCTGAATAGAGAAACAGCTGGAAGCCATGCAAGCTCCATACTAAATTCCTACAAGAAAAATACACATGCAGACAAGTATATAGTGGAATGGCAATACCGGTGTATGACAGATGAAGACAGGTAAGCCTAGTGAGAAAATTAATTCACTTACAAGTATAATTAGTGCCAAAATGTTTTCCCTCAGCAATTGAGATCTTCCCTTTAGAGCTTTTTGAACCAAGGCTGACATAGCGGAGGACTAGGTGGAAGAGCTTAGGGGAAGCCACAGGGACAGGTACAACCACCTCTGGCTGGCAAAAATAAAAAGAAAGGGAAAAAGGAGGAAAGGAAAGTATATTATTTGTTACTAGCACCCAGAGAAAGAAAAACCATTTGGCAAAGACAAACTCCATAACAGAAAAGAAAGACTTGGGCAGCTTACAAAAGAATATAGAACAAAACCCTCCTGTGAAATAAAACACCTTGTTGAGAAATGTTCATCCATAGAAACATGGAATGGCTGAACTAACATGCATGTTGATATTGCACCTTGAAACATGGACAACATTTTACTGCTACTCTCCCCTCCTGTGCCTTAGAGGAGACGTATGGTATCAAGGGCCATCCATTCCCCTGGATTCCTGAGCAATAGGCCAGAATCATTGGTCCTACTCTAAGGCTACAAACACATCTCACAGCATGCAGATGCCTCAGATAGTCAGTGCAGTTTCTTTTGCTCCTCCACCAGATCCCTTAGTTTGTTAGCTGTGATATTCTGGCTCTGTCTTTGCTCTGTGGTTGAACTGACATCTCTTGAACCTCCTCAGCCATTGACTGGCAGTGCTGTCTGCAGAAGACAGAATTCACCTAGCCCATTACTCAGAGTTTGCCAAGCAGTAGCATCAAGGACAGAAACTTATTCAGAATTGGCAGAGACATCTTCAAAGGTTGTAGGTGGGTTAGGAAAAAATAGGCTTGGTGCAACCTCAAGGGTTTGGCTTCCTTCTTCCCATTCTAAATTATAAAGCTCCCTTCCTCAAAGTTCACCCCTCATAATCCCCTCTCTGTCCCATTCCAAGATGCTTCTGATACCATAAGCTCCTCACCACTGTGGTCAACTCTGCTTCCCCAAAGCACACAGGTTCTCTAAATTCCACACCTTTGAGAACTGAGCACAAAGCCTTATCTTCTCTCATATCTACAAGCTAATACAAATGCCAAATTGACAGCTCTCACATGCTACTTTGAATGTGTATTCTTAAACTGATCCTCACTGTAGAGACCTCTACTTTCTTACTAGAAAAGCAAAGCAAAGATTGACTTAGGACAGATGACAGGGCTGAGAGATCTACAAAGACTAGACAGTAAAATCTAGGGGATCACGGAAGGGCAGTGGAACAGAACAGAACATATGGACAAGTGGGGGAAGATTTTACAATTGTTTTAAATGGAGAGGAAGGAGTGCTGAAGGGAATAAAGATAAATTAGGCACTGGAGGACACTTGAAAAATAGATAAGAACAACAAAGAAAAGATAAAAGAAATTTTAAAACATGCTTCAGAAGGCTTAACAAAATGGTTTTGAAGCATGTGTGGGGAAGTCCAGAAGACACAGCTGAAGGGGGAAAAAGAAGACACATGTGAGGAGTGAGGGAGGAAGAAATGTTAGTCCTTGGCTTCAAACAAAGGCAGGAAGTGGGAGGAATTTGTTCTCCGAGCTCTGCCGTACACTTAGGCAGCTTTGGCCAAGGCTTTAAAATCTGAGCCCTGCTGTAGGCTTCTATAATGGAACACTCATTTTGGCAGCATGATAGTGCACCTGCGACTTCGACTGAGGTCACACCCAGGCTATTTATTGCACCACAAAAAATTGTAATTGTATTGAAATAGTTTCTTTTCAAAAAGCCTTCTGTGTGGTAGATACTGTAACACTATTTGTCTTTCACAAGAGAAATGTCAGGAGGAATATGTCAGGGTCCTGCAAAACACAGAAAAGCTATGTCAAAATTATGAGCATTCCTTGAAACGAAGAATGTGAAACTATCTCAGCTATGCAAGGATCTAACTGTAGAGGGGCTGGCAATGACTTATATGAGTGAAAAGCTGTATTCAGGTGAGCAAAGGAATGCATACTTTTAAAGATCTGCATAACTGGAGATTAAGCCCTTTCACGACTGCTGCCAACTGGCTATGAAATTCAAAAAGCAGCAGAGTTAGGAAGCGGAAGTTAGGAAATCACAGTTGTTAAGCGTTGCCTTCTTTTGTGAATGTAGAGTAACTCTGAAGAGCCAACAAACAAGCTCTGGGATAAAAAAGACAGAAAAGAGCAAAGAAGAAAGAGTGAAAAATGAAGAACAGAAAGGAAATGACTATGCTTACAGAATGGTTACGCGCTTATGGCTCAGCTTGTAGTTTACAAAGGCTGGACACAACAATACCCCATGACTAGAAAATCTAACCAGCATCAAACTAATAACAGGGAACTACTTTTAAGAAGGGTGAGCAAATACCATTTATTGCTCAGATTTGCTGTTTTAAAATCCTGGTTCCTCTGCTCAGTAATTCAGTCGAAAGTCAGACAGATCCCTTCTCACATGATTAAATTATGTTGACTTTCTTCCTTTATTGTATTTAATTTATTTATTCTTTCTGCTGTTGTTTACTTTATTTGTAGACTGTCATGAAATAAAAGTAGATGTTGCCAATACAGTCCTGCTCACATCCTATTTTACTGAATTATACGTTGGCCTATTTGCTGCAAAGTAAAGGTGTCACTCCTAATAAAGCTGGTGCCTTGCTCTCCCTTGCCCAATATGAGCTGCAAGCATAAGAAGGCTTCCAAAACAGTGTTGTGATGATGCCTGAGAATCAAACAGACACAGACTACTACAGAATTCCGTAATCCAAATCATTTAGCCAAACAATAACCTTCTAGTGTTTCTGCTGTCCTTGGCATGACAAGAATTTCTACATTTAGTATTACACGCTTTAAAGCTATTCTTTTGTTTAATCCTATGGCAAAACGCACATTTCTCATGCGCAAAAAAACTCTAAGAAGGTCTCTGAAGAATATATATTTGTAGTAGCAACTAACAACTCACAATAATACTAGCACCCACTAATCCAAGCAGCGATACAGTGCCAAAGTGTTGAGATTAGTGAGATCCCGTCATTTATTTTGGTTCCTCCGTGACCTTGCACACACACAGCAGTACTATGGAGGCACACATCCCAAAGACTGTGTTTTTAACCCAAAAGCCCAGATACAATTACCAGCTTACTTGTATAGAGGACATCCGGGCATATCCTCTCCAACTGAAGCCAGGAAATTCCTTAGGATCATAACCAAACCGAATTCCTCTTCCTTCGACAGTAGTACCATCTTCAATCTCAAACTTAATGTGGTGCAGATCAGGGAAAAAGAAGTTTTTTTCAGGCCTTTCAAAGAGCAAAAGAATAACATTCAAGGACTATTCTTTTTCTCTGAATCTTTTAATTTTTTGCTCTCACTGTCAGCTTGAGTTTTTTTGCCAGTATAAAATACAAGCATAACTACTGACCGAACATCTGATACTAATTTTAGAAGAACATTTTACACAACCTGCATAAATCACGTCACTCAATAGCTAGCTCAAATTCATTCCGATATGAGTTCTCATTTCACCAGCAGGTAAGCTAAAGAAGCCTGATGAATGCATGACCTTTCTACACAGTTTGTTACCCGAATATCACCTCTGCATTCATCTTTTCGGTCTGTGTCATTATGCAGATTAGCAAGAAGCTTCCATCCACCATTGTAATTTGAAAGCATTACCAATCACTATTTGGTCTACCTCAATGAGAAAGAAGCAACAGAAGGGAAGTGGTCTATGGACCACAAAGAAATCCTCACAGCATTGGTTTACAAATTCCTGACAGCAGCTAAGATGGGTAATAAGAATTCCCATTCCAGTTACATTCTCTTTTCACATAAAAAGCTGTACCTTTCTTATATAACTCTTGATGGATATAGATATATACACATATATGCAATGCTGTTGCAAAATAGTTTCTGGCTATTTAAGAAAATAAGTTAAAAATCTATACATACAATATTAAAATAACAAAAGAAAATTCTCACACACAAAAAAACTGTAGATAATATCACAATTTACTGGCTTATTTATCAACAAATCCAGAATCTCATGTGACAAGATAACAAGGAACTCCTGGGCATTTTTAAAACAATGTTTTGAAGCATGAGCTATTCGCTACAGCTAGACTCACTCCTGACAGGCCGTTCCCACAATGTGTTCTCTGCACTGGCAGGCACCCGAGGGTTCAGCACACACAGAACTGATGGATCCTCCAACATCACATTGACAGCCTGTCAGGCGAAGAACAGAAGCCAAATATCCCATCAGAAAACATGATGAGTGTTATCAAAAAAAACCACACCTCGCTTCCTCTAATTAAGCAACGTTATCAACTCATTTCCTCCTTCCGGAGCCCTTTAGGCTTCCCTTCGAGTTTTTCAAATACACATTAACACATGTGCATAAACTGCAATTATTTCTGGATTCTCATGTTTGTGTCTGCTTTCCTTATTTTTTTCCTTTTAACGTGACAAAAGCCAGATTTTTTAAATCTGTAATAAACAAGTAATAAACCGTGCCACATTTACTATATCTCAGATTAAGTTCTGAAGGACAGCCTTGAAATGTTTTACTCAACAAGACAGAATTTCTACAGCAATAGAAAAGTAGTAACTTATTTTTCAAACAAGGAAAAAAAAATCATTCAGAAAATGAGTGTAAGACATTAATTTTTGAAAGTCTGGTACCACAATATTTAATTTACCTTACAGCAATTACACACAACAAAAATATATGCATTTATGTAACAGCATATGCATATTTTTTAACCAATATTGGACAAGAATATTGAAAGATTTGTTACAGAAGATAGGACTTTTGGTACAAAATAAGGAACGCGTCTAATTATGAGGTATAATGTGTCTTACTAAGGAAGAAGTATGCCTGGGTTAAAAATTTCAAAACTAAGTTGAAAGGCTGAAAGTTCTTAAGCACATATTTACATCAGCAGGTAAAAGTGTCCTGCTTAAGATATGTGGAGCACCTGTAATCTCACTGAAATCACAGAGAGTTGAAGTACTTAGCACTTTTGTGAAACCAGACCCCTTTCATTAGATCCTTGGTTTGAAAATTAGGCATGAAAGCTATGTTTGATAAGCTAGCCATTATTTTTAACTGTGCAAACATAAAATGATTGCTAAAAGTACTTCAGTGTTTTACAGATAAATCTCTCATATCATCACCGGACAAGTGCAAAGCACAGTGAAGTCAATGAAAGTGCTTTCAATGTTTTTAACAAATTCAGATTCTGGAGGGGAGCAAGAAGGGAAGGGAACAATTGACGTAGCCCTATGTTCCTCAAAATACCTTCTTCAGAAGAATGACCACTTTCTCCGTATCACAGCTACACCTGGTTCTACTTCAAAACGCTTTGAGTTAGAGCCTAAAGCAATAAGCAAATATATCTGCAGAAAATCAAGCTAGTTATCTGTGGCAACATTTTAAGGCTTTTTTTTTTTTTTTTTTTTCCAGCAGCAGCAGCAGCAATCCTTAAAAAACAGCTAAGCAGAAGAGGGAGCTGCCACTCTTACATGTATCTGATGTTACTAACACTTGGAGGAAAATCAAACATCCCCAGTTTCACATCTTGGGTGGAGGATTGAGAAAAGAAACAACTTTCAATTATCTTGCTTGGGAATTTCTTTAGCAACAATATTTACATATTTTGCTAGGGTTATCTGGGTATTACACACTGCACTACACTTTCCACTTCACTTAAACCCCAGACTGCTTCTAAAAGTGGAAGGTATTAGATTTCAACAGGGAAGTACAGTATAATAGATCAGTGAGGTAAGCTGTATGAATGAAGCCCAAGCACGTGCGCATGAAGAAGGGGAGGCACAGAGCCCGGGATTTCTTAGGCCTGCACTGGTCCTGTGCTGGGCAAGCTTCAGCAGCTCTTCAGTCCGATGCCACAACAGGCTTTAACAGCTCCACAAGAGAAGCCTCAGACACGCTGTAGTAAAGAAGGCACTTGGGGAAGGTGAGGGAAAAGACAATGAGCCCAGTGAGGTAAGAACCAATTTTCTGAAGTGAGTGAGCCATAAAAATGGCTGGGAACTACTGTACTATGCACATGTGCAATGGTTTCTCTCCCCTTGGAAGCAGTCATGCTTTAACTGGGCGTAAGAACTCTAGAAAACAAAAGAGATTTTCATTGCAGAACACAGCCAGTTCCACAAACTGAGACTTGCACATGTTACAAGAAATTACAAGCAACAGCACAAAAAACTATGCACAAGTAATACGTTCACATTAAAAAAATACAGCCTATGGAATTCTAAAGAGTTTTGTGCTGAGTGAAAAGGTTCTACTAGAAATGTTCCTTATTCATCTTACCTCGGCAGCCAAAATAATTCTTGTTTTCCAAAGCATAATAACCAGCTTCACAAGTGTCACAAAAATCTCCGCAAACACTAGGTTTGCAATAACAGTGTCCATTTTCCTGGGAAAAAACGATTTGATCAAAAATGTCTCTGCATCTTTTTCAGAACTTCATTCTTTCAATATTTTGAATTCCTTCTAATTTTAAAGAGGGTAAAAATTCTAATCTCAACAAAAAATATTATCAAGATGTATCATCTGACATTCATCATCTTTAATGAACAGACTAGAAAGTACATACATTCTAGATTTCCAGAACTTTTACATGTCTTTAGAATGTCACCAGTCATTTTATGTACAAAAGAGTAATCAGTTCTAACATTTCTATCTTACCAAACGTTATAACAATTTATCTTTACAGAAATCTATTTATTTAATGTCTTTCTATTAACTTCATTTTACCTGCTGACACTCTCCAACCCCACTTAATGTTCCACTCACATCACACTGGCATGCTGCAAAGACAGAAGAAAGATAATCTGCATTTCATCTTCTCAGGATACTTCGGAGGTGGAAAAAACCCCTTGCATCTGCAGCTGTGAATCACAGTGCAATAAGGTGGATTTTACTCTGGAAGGGTCAGAATTGCAAAGGGATACTGGCACAAGGTGTGAAGAAAAAAGAAAAGGAGAAGGAATGAGGACTTTGTGTATATGCCATGTACTGACTTGTGTTAGTGTATTCTATCTTGTGTTTAACAAAAAAAAGGCTTAAGTTTGGATTTAGAGTTGTCTGTCTGTCTTAGAAACGTTCAGATGACTGAAGCAAAACTGTGTCTTCCAGCCTGACTGGCAATTCTATTTTGCAGTGCTGCTTAGGGACCAGCACAACTCTGTGTATGAAGTATATATCAAGGAAGAATTGCAGGAAAGAACTTTGTCTTTTGCTGACAAAGAGGTTTTGTGAAACCCCATATTGACTCTATGGCTGAGGGCAGAGAAGATAAATCACGTGAAAGGTGCAGTAATTCATCTTTGAGGAGATGTTTGGACTGTGCAGTATTTAGAGCCAAGATGTAATGATATTGGTAGCTGCTTTGAGGCTCCTCATTTCACCTAGGTAGCTGTTGTGGTGTAACCTGCTGAAAAAGAAATAGATGGGGAGAAAAAATAGGGCTCTGAAGATAAAATGATTCTTCTCTGCCTGAAGTTACACTCTCACTGTTAGCAAACATTGAAATTTGCAGAGGGATCATTATTACATAGGCCGAAACCACAAAAGATTTGTCAGACTTTGAGGCAACAAGAAGGCTTTTCACCCCTCTACAAGCTAGGAGAAGATAATTAATGAATAAGCATATTTTTCTCCAGTGAGCCAAATTCTGGTTTCAGCGTTAAGGAAAAAAATCCTGCCTGTGCAATACACATCAATGTAACTCAGAGTACGCTTCAGTCCAGCATTATTAAGCACTCATGAAATGATGGTCTAATTTCTAAAAATAACTGGTTTCATGAGTAATTTGGTGTCAAATTTAAGCACTAAGAAAAACACACTATTAACAAGAGTTGTTAAAGTCACTAAGCACCCAAGATGGCCACCGCTAACAAAGATCATTTTCAAAAGAATTTAACATATTTCATGACCAAAGAAATAAGTCATGAAGCTGTACCTGTACATCCCTCAGGGTTTTCTTTGGCCAGGTTCCAGTACAAAGGTTTGCATTTACTACAGGTAGGACCTTCAACATGCTGAAGACATTGACAATAGCCCTAATGACAGAAATGAGTCAATATGGGGCTTTTCAGACTCAAAATTAGAAACAAAAACAAAAAAAACACTTAGTAAATGCATGTTATTGGAAAAATGAGGCATGACTGACAATTTTTTTCCTGTAATGGCTTTTTAAGGAAAATAAGGCCAAGCTGCTGTATATTCTATTCCCCAAAAGATTGTCATTCCACATAGCATTCAAAAGAAATTAGAACCTTTCTCTGATATCTTATCTTCACAAAACAGAGAACTTTTACTATATGAATTCAGTAAGTATTCAGAAAATCTCCGTTCGTATGTTTGATAAAAACATACTGCTCTTTCTTACGTATTAAACTGCCCAAAGTCACTGAAGTCACTGAGAACAGGAATCCTCTCCCATTGGCACTAAGAAAAAACTAATACTGTAATAACTCAGGCAGTTTACTGACTTTCACAGAATCAGTGACAATGAAGTTGATTCAGACTTTTTCTATTTTTCTGTCCCATATTATCAGCACAAGACCGTTCCACATTGCCTTCTTTTTCCCTGTCTAATCTCTCCTAAATGACCCAGGGGACATACTTTCCAGCTCTTTCATAGCCTTATTAGAACTGCTTTAAAATATTAACTGTTTTGCAGAAAGTTTAAAAAAAAATTCCTTAAAAATAGTCATTCCTTTTGTTATTTTCTCTTTCCTTTCTTGCTTCCTTCTTCTTCAGAGGACAGAATGTAAAAGAGGGTGGGAAAGAGAACCAATTCAGATTCCAAAATGTTAGAATTACTAGTAATTTTTTTAAAATAATGGCACTATCATACCAAGAAAAAAATTATTCTGTACTTTTAATCCTAGATATCTTGTGTTCTAATTCACCCTAAGGTCTTTATGGCATTTGGAAATAGGCATGACGTCTGTTTTTCCTTCTGTAAAATTGACTTGGGCACATCTATCTGTTCTATCTCTTCTCCCTGCTTTCTTGGACTTCTCCATTTATTCAATTATTTTAAAAATAGTTATGGAGAGCTAAAAGTAGACATTTCTCTGAAACATACCTGTTCTTATGAACAAACAGAGGCAAATAATGTAGAATTCTGCTTTTCTGTGCAACTCCTTTCTTCTATCCTTTCCATCCGTCTATCCTTTTCCATAAAAAACTATGGATACCTCGCAGTGGGATGGTTTGCTCAGACGCATCACCACAGTTTCCATGACTCCCAACCAGCCAATTTTGAGTAGAGATTAAAGGCACATACAGCTGTATATATTAGCCTACATAGATACCTCTTTCACCTATCAGACTTATCCTCTGGTTGTGTTCAGTTCATAGTGTCAATGAGGAAGGACTATCTTCTTTCCTATGCATTTATACAGAACATAAGAATAATTTCTGATTCTGACTGATTTTTGGTAATATGCTATGAATAACAACCATAATTGTAATAATAATAATACAGAATCATAATGGTAATATTAGAATAAAAACAGTTACTAAAATATAATATTTTAATGAATAATTTGGTGCTGAAATGGTCCGTAACCATCCAGAACCAGAAAGTCTTTGAGACATGCATACTCATGTGTGCACATCTGCACATATATTTTAGTGTTCTAGCATTCCAAGAACACATAAACTGTATGTACATTCAACATACATTTTCAATAAAAGATTTTAAAAAATCACCTTCAACAGGTAATCGCACTATTACGATAAAAGAACAGGATACACAATTTATCTCCATATTTACTCTGCAAATAAGCTTCTGCAATTCTTTCACAGTCTAAGATCAGGCTCTAGGTGCTTAAGCAATGAAGTGAACATATTCAGCAGAGACACAGTACATAAATTCTTAATATGCATTGTTAGCTGCAAAGATATAATACTTACAAAATCAGACCCAAAGCTGCCTGAAGGGTCACATTCACTGCTGACTCCTTTACAAAATTAAAAAACAAACATATTGAAAGATCTTTTTAGAAAAGAGTCCTGGTATACAGTACTATAGAACTGCAGTGTAGCAGTTTTATGTTTCAAGGATTTATTTTCATGCGGTTGCCTTGGAATGATTCAAATACTTTAAACTTCAGAACTAGCAGGTCTTTAACAATGATGGTGCAAATGTGTATTTAGCCTAGTTTAGACTATTTATTTTGCTACGCAAAGTAGTAAATTGCAAAAATATGTCACTGCCCTACAGAACTGAGAGACTTTTACCTACATTTCTTATGCCACCAGCTAAAAGGGGGTTTAATCTTAAAAAGTACTTCATTAAGTAAGATATAGAGTAATGAAAAAGCTCATCTAATATGTGCTCTTGGTGTGTCCCTCTCCACATTTCAGTGGATTTCTATAATGCTTTATACGCAGGAGAATGCCCTGGAGAACCTGCTGATAAAAATGGAGGAAATCTGAATCAGAATGAAGTATTTTCTGTTACAAATGTTACCTTCACAATAGGGGAAGCTGTAGGCTCCAGAAAGGCATCTGTCACACTGTCGCCCCGTAACGCCTGTTTGACATTCACACTGCCCTGCTGTTGGCTCACACGTGCTGTGATGGGAACCACGAGGAGAACACTGACAAGCTATATAACAAAAAACATTGACAATGTTGGTAGGATTCACCCTGTGTATACGAAGCATTAACTTTCCAAACCTTTAGTACTTTAGAGCTTTCAAAAACTATTTGTTTGGAATATGCTTGATTTTTCTTTACAATAAACAACTCACAAGTTCCTCCATTTACACATATCCCCTACTTGGGACCTATGAGTTTGAGATGACTTGCATCATATTGACAGGTAGGATTATCAGGAACCTTAGTAAATTCCTTTTGCTCTACTTTGTTCCTTTCTAAGAGCAGACTGAAGGGACTTGGGACTTGGTTTTCTCTTTTCTTGATTTTTTTATTGTTACAGAAAGAACATGGCAAATTCTATAATTAGACTTGCACTTCAAAAGACAATGGCAAAACACAGAATGTAAAATTGTATGCCCAGCACACCTTTACATCTGAGAGCAGAGGAGGCCAGGAAGAAGCTCTGAAACAAATCATGAGAGTCGTCTTGTTCCAGATTCTTGTGCAAGGCCTCAGCTTTCCAATGATTTACATGCGTAGAGTAAATATGAATAATGCCACAAATCTGCGACAACACAGGAGGCTAATCTTTGCTCAGACAGAGTCTAAGCTTGAAATGGTTAATGATAATTATTTTAGTGAAGAAGCCACCAGTCTCCTAAAGAGCGAGAACCAATTACTTTTTGCTATGGCTATGGTGATTAGCAATAGCCAAATTTTGAGCCAAATTTCTTTAGCACTGACAATCTTTTGACTTCTAGGAAAGAACATCCCTGTTTACGATGATTAAGTAGCTTGCTGATTTTGATGATTTTTACCACAGGACCCACAGGTTTCACTCCGATTGATATGAAAAACATATATATACATTCTGGGCCTGATCAGTTGATCCACTGGGGCAGTAAAAATTGTTGATGAGATGGAATTTTTTCAGAGTAAAGCCATTCTAGACTAGGATTTAAGGTTGATGTAAAGAGCACCTATGCATGCACTTTAAAAGTTTACACAATAGCATATCAAATACTAGAAGCCCAAACTAGTTGAAATGAAGTTTATGCCGTCTAAGTTGAATGAGCCAGAACTCATAAAGGTGCAGGCCCATTGCCTACACTCAACTTTAGACTTCCTTTGTTAAAAGGGAGATACAGCTACACCAAGGCCAAATATTCTCATGCTCTCATTAATTCAGCTAGCACAGATAACAGGAACAGAGAAGATGTGCCACAGTGTGCTACCAGAGTGTGAACCTGCTAGGAATCCCGGCCACTGGTTGGGTCTTCAGGATTATTGTTGCCAGTATTGAATGGAATGAAACTGTCATAGTTACACATGTAGTTTTAGACAGAAATATGTTTGAGGGAATTAACTGATTCTTTTCTGTGTAACAGAAATGAGAGGGAAAAAACAGTAAAAGGAGGAAAAGGCTGTTACTCACGCAAGCAGCTGGGATAGCTGTAATAACCTGGAGCGCACTGATCGCACCTAAGTCCAGCATAGTTACTATGGCACAGACACTGACCTCTAGGACCACATGTATTGGCCACAGAGCCAAGAGCATCACAGTTACATTCTGCACAGGGAAAAACAACAGATAATTATCCTGACAGATACACCTCTAAACTAGTATTATTTAAAACAGAAGTTACCAAAAAGCCACCTTTGAATGCAAAGCAATCATGAGGAATCCAGATAAAACCATAGTTTTACCAGCAAAAATAAATATCCTCAAATAGACCCTTATAATGTAATTGCCTTCTCAACCATTGATAATAAGGTTCTTACTGCATTTTAGTTTAGAAATTTAGTCTGATCCCTTGCAACATACATGTGTAAGGAACAGTAATTTATCTTAAAATGGAAAATCACATGCGAGAAGTACTTAATATCTTAACAATTTAACCTCAGACCAAAAGTATCCACAAAGCTAGGCTGGGTCTAATGGCTAGCAAGAAGCTTACTAGTAAAGCAGTTTGATAAACGATGCACAAGGTAAAACCTGCTCACCTATATTGGTTCTACAAGCCAGCAAGCTGTGCAGTGCAGGTATCAGCATGTGACAGACAGGAGGCACACTGGCAGATTATAACAATTAGCTGGATGCGTGCTTTTCATCAGTTATCACTATTTTAAGATAACGGCTCTAATACAGATAAGATGCACTCTGTTATTGATATGATGCTGGAAGTTACACAAGCCTAAGCTGTATATGTACATCAGTGGGAGCCCATCTGGAGATCCCAGCTGCCACAGGCAGAAGCTGAAGCATTGCAGCTGATCACTCAGATTTTATGAGACCGCAGGAGCTAAAGGGTGGAAAGATTTCACTCAGCTCCACTGTCCCTCGGGATGACTGACAGAAATATAAAATGGATGCTATTTAAGTATTAGTCCTTCCATTCCATGTTCATATTCCTGGTTTCCTCTTTCAGTTTCTTTCTCTTCAGCAGCCAAGGACATCTGACCTTGCTGTGTTTACTTCAAAGGTTCAAAGAAATATGCGGGACTTGCTCTGAAGTTAGTATGAGGGCTACAAACATTGACGCTTCCAGAGACATTACCTGCACTAGAATCAACCTCCAGCTGAACATTTATTACCTCCTCTCTTCATTTTAATGGAATTGATTAGTTTAAAGGCTTCATATTGATGTCACTCCTATTGAATACATCTTCTATTGATTTCAACAGGCAAGACCAGAGAAGCCAAATTTGGCTGTGGCAGCCAAAAAGTTGCAGATCTACCTCTCTTCTAAAGATCAGAATTCCAAACAGGAGTAGGAGTCTAGGCTGCTCATCTTCCACCACAGTTTGCAGCATGCCACATTAGTTTAAATTTAAACCAATTTAAATTTAACAGCAGCTTATTTTAACAGAACGAGCTGTGAACAGTGGCAGTCAGGAGCGATCCCTTTTCGACTGTTTCTTCTCTGTCTTTTCCAGCTTGTTTTTGCATGCTCTCTTAAGCTCTTAGATCTCTTTTCAGTTTTCAGTGTTACAATTTTGAACACATTCGGTATGGTTTGATTTGCAAACAGGTGAGAGAAGAGGATATATGACAGAGCATGCACAGAGGCCTGCCAGGGCCATTATTTTTGACGCTATACACAGGAGAAGATAATTGGCTAGAAGAGAACAAGGCTTTGCAGGATGTAACAGCAACTGCAGGCAACGTCAAGAAAACAATTAGGACTTGTAAATACACCAATGGATTAGCACTGTCTGCTTATGTTTAAGTGTCTGCTCCATTAACAGAAGAAAATACTTTTCCAAATGCCAACATAAACTCCAGTTCCATGAAAGCTAAGAGATATAAAGGGGGAAAATGTCGATTTTAGTATAGAAACAAAGGTTGTTAGGTTTTTTTAATCTATTAATCCCTAATTGCACCAGAAGCATGTATTTAATTAAGTTCTAGCTGTGATGCTGGCTCAGTTCTGCAGTATAATAATATATACTTAAAATGTAAACCCACCAAAGGAATCTTTTTATGGATTTCAGATAGCTTTGCAGTGGACTAAATAACAAATATGCAGCTCTTTGAAAAATCCAAGTAATTCTTTGCCAAGGGCAATGTACAACTTGCCAGGTGTAAGAGGACAGTCCAGAAACAGAGGCCAGTTAGCCTTAAGAAAGAGATTTACACTGTGAAGCAGATGACAAGTTGTACACGTCAGAAAGTCTTGATGGATTTGTTCACAAGAGCAACAAACAAGATGGTCTGCTTCTTCTGCAGATGTTTGCCGGAGGCTGGCCAAACCTATTTTGATCCATAATTCTTCCTGGAACTAGCCCACTAACTTGTTTAATATTAACATGACTATATAATAAACTTCTGGTAAGAACAAAGCCTCTCTGAAAGATAAATATCAATACTGGCAAAATTACAACATAAATCTGCATGAAAGAGCAAGCATCACTGAAACAGTGAAGAACAATGAAACAAGGAAAAACAGTGAAGCAGGAAAATAAAAAGAAAAAGAACTTGCCTATTATGTCACCAGCCATAGCATCTCTTGGATTTGGAGAAGTAAAAGGATAAACAGGAACACCTTTAGAACAAAAGAAGCAATAAAGTATACTTGAAACAGACAATAAATTTATTTCTCTAAAGACCATGCCATGAAGTTGTCTGCTGTCAATAGAAAAAGAATGATAATTGTATGACTCTAGTAATCAACTTCAGTTTATTTTTTTTTAATTAGGAACAGCATAAGAAACTTTTTACTTTTGATCTCCAATTTAAGTCCAAACATTCCTTGTCAAAAACACTATGAAAGGCCAAAAAGCATTTGGAAATGCTACCAGGTTGCTTCCCTGCTCCCTACTACTTTGTGCAGAAAGCTTTCTCATGCTAGACAATATTATCTTGGAAGCTCCACATTTATTTCTTGGCTCCTGCTTCCAGTTCAAGGTTCATCTCCTGCTATTCAGCCCTACTGTTTGCTACCTCAAGTGGTAGAATTCATGATGCGTGCCTTACATCTTGGGAGTATTTCTGAGAATCCTCCGTATTAGGAATGGGAAAGTCATCCCAACAAACTTCCCTTCATTAAGACAGCACTGTGATCCTGACCCAAAGTTGATGTGCCACAAACTCCAGTGGAATTTGATCAAATGAGATATGATATTCTAGAACGCATTGTACAGAAACTATTTATTCTATTGCAGGCATTGATTTCAGAACAATACTCAATTTTTTTACCCTGCTTTATCCCCATGTTTTCTATTGATTTCCCTCTTCATTGTTCCAGTTTTATAATGGTACCTCTCTTCTAATGGTGTTAAAGTAATGTAAAATTGAAACACCACAGGGGTAAATCAGACTGCAAATCCTACCTCTGCACAATACCCCTTTATTGACTATCAGAAACAAAGTTCTCCTGAGGGCATAAAACACTCCCAGTGATGCATTTCTAGAATCTGGTCATGGAATCATAAGCTTTTATACAATAAACAATTCTGGTGTTATATTTTCTTCTCAATTATTGTATATGTAATTTTTTTCTGGGAAAAGCATTTGAATTTCTGAATTCCTAATATTTCATTTTAGTATCCTTATTTTAAAGTAACAATCTCATTTTTAAATAATCCATAGCATTATAAACTGTTCCAATACCATTTTGAATAAATGGAAGCAGTCAGTATTTATGTGTTACATCATTTTTTTAATGTGTTTATTTTCTTTGGATTTACAACACATCTTCCCTTCAACCACTTTCTTGACAAAATCAAAACAAACTGTAGCCCCTCCTTCAACCACATATCAGCAACTATCAGCAGTCCAGCAAAAACAGAGAGCATGTCTGAGAGTCTAAATGCTCTCCCAGGAGAGTCTTTCCAACATTGCACAGGCGCTATTTCAGAGTTAGAATCCTCTAAAAGTCCACAAACTTGGTTTATGGGGGGTTTATCCTAGAAAGCCTCAAGGAGAACACATGACCATTTTCTCCCCTCTCTCTTGCTGCACTTTTTGTTCCACTTCCAGTTATGTCTAAAGACAGAGATATATTTAAACAACTTGTCCAGGGCTTTAGGACTGGAATTCATGATGTATTGAGAGACAGGCTCTGACTTCTCCCAAGAGGTCTTAAATGAATGTAGAAGTCTGAGAATGCAACCAAATCTATTTGGTTTTCAAGTTAACTGCCATTTTGTAAAACAAACCAGACTCTCTTGAGTATTATGACAACTGATTTACCAGAATGTGTAAACATTAGAATCCAAAATGACAGATGTTTTATCCAAGTCAAGTGCAGTGAAAATGGTTAATTCCTTAATGCATGTCAAAAATATTTGAAAAGAGACATTTTTATTTGTATACTTACGGATACAAAACGGAAAACCATAGAATCCATCTGCACATTGCTCACAGCTTTCTCCCTGGAAATTCTGCTTACAGTAACAGTGGCCAGACCCTTCCTCACAGCCCTCTGCGTACTCCAAGTTACAACTGCAAGCTAAGTAAATATCAACAATTAGGCACTTTCTAGAAAAGAATGAATTTACCTTCTGCAGCAGTGCACAATGGCGTTATAATAGTCTTTCTTTGCAGTTGTGAATGTCTCATTATTTAAAAAATTGACATTTGCATGCTATTTCACATTTTCCAAGTACTCTGTACCAGCAACTAATCTTTGTGATGTCCCTTAGGGGTAAGACCTGTATTATTTTCTTACAGCATTTATTTTTCTTAATTCAGAAAGTTGCACGTTATTACTTCACAGCACTGCAACAACTGCCCTTTCTGTGGCTTCTTCTCATCCCTCTCCATGGTCAGGGCTGAACATCAGCCTCTCTGTCCACTCTCCCTTACAGACAAAGTTCAATAACATCACTGCAGCATTCCCACTCTGTTGACTTCCCGTTCATTTCAATTCACAAACAATCTGTAGCGTCCTCATACCTGTTGCAAAACTCCTTCACCCTGCTAATAATTCAACCTTTATCTCACACCTATACTCAGTTCTCCCTTTTTAAATGTTGAATTAATAACTATCCTGTTGCATTATTCATTATGGATGCTAACCTCAGCGCTGCATAAAGTAGGAGTAGTGATCCTCATGACCTTTTGAGCTATAGAATAAAATTTTCATGTGACTAGGAGCCAACAATTGTGTTACATATACTTTAGAGAGCTAAGAGAAACAGGGTCATGAGGGTAGGAGATGAGAGTGGCTCTTAAGAGGTCATACCATTTCACTGTGGGGTGTGCAGCTGGACCCCAGGTCTATGCGACCTTATCTCAGCAGCAGCCTTTTCTGGCTTACTTCTTCCTATTGCCTAGCTGCTGGTTTGAGGCTTATGGCTAATATGATACAAAATGTTGAGAAGAATATCATTGAAAGGGTCTAAAGCAACACAAAAAGCCATTTGCAGTTACTCTCCCAGATCTGTCGTTGTCTAAAGCAACACAAAAAGTCATTTGCAGTTACTCTCCCAGATCTGTCGGGCACTTCTTAATATTTCCTCCCTGAAAGACACATCCCATGCCCTAACTGTAGCCAAAAAAAACTAAAACAAAAACAAATAAACAAAAAACCCCCACCCTACCACTATGAGAAGATATGGCATAAAGAAAGACTTACGTATACAGCCATCATGAGCCCTCACTGGAACACCATAAGGACGATAGTAACCTTTTGCACATTTCTCACAGTTAACACCAGCTGTGTTATGCTGTGCAAAATAAAACAAAAGGAGACTATGAGGTGGAAAACGGAACTTAGATGGAGAATTAAGAAACAATAACATCCTTTATGCTGTTCCTATACATCACTAAGCAAGGGTCAGCACAGGAAAAATGGAATATGACTGTAAAAAAGACAGCATTTATCAGTTGGTGGTTTTAACTGCCTGTATTCTCTAAAGCGTTCTGAAACACAGTATTCTCAAATTAAAAGGCTGAATTTTAACTTTAAAGCACTATAAAACAAGACCTGTTTTAACAAAATATTAATTTAAATCAAGGGAAAAAAATCTTTTATACACTACCATCAGATGTTTCTCTCTATCATACTGAGTTCTTATCACAACATGTACATAATTCAGGCAACTCCATTGTGCGTTTTTCTCATGGCGTAGATTACTTTTTTAAATACTCTATATCTAAGCTCAGCAACCTCAAACAAAACCAAAACCTGATCATTTTACACAAAACGAAGTAAAAAGCACAAAACAGATCTTCCATTAGAAAAACATACATCTCTGCAAATGTGTTTTAGGCACACGGAAAAAATACTGTAACTTGAACTACAACAAAAATATATAAAACTGACATCACCGAATAAAGTCCTGAGTATATTTTTGGCAATAAAACTTGTGCTGTAAAGCTTTCTCCCACTTTGTGGGAGGCAGAAGCATGCAATAGCCACGGTGTTCACAAGTTGAGTAAATCTTGTTCAGAAGGTGTTTGGTGGGCTTGTAGTCATGAGAGAGGACCCAGCAGAGCTAGGGGGAGCATGGTCCCAGAGTGACCAGAGAAGGAGGTGCCTGCCTCCAGTTTCCATTTGCTGTTTAGTTGCCTCTTAGGGAGTGCTGTAATTCAGGGGGCTGCGAACAGGGACTTGAAAGTTAATGGGGCAGTTTGTGGGCAGGGCACCGGGGACACTGCTGGAGCTGATGTTTGCAGTTGGTGGTCTCAGTTCATGCAGCAGTTTCAGTCTCTGCTTCCAGCTCTGCCAGGAGCTTCTTCTGTCATCTTCAGATCCAAGCTCCTGCTGAGAAAGACTGACTCCTGATCAGGGAGGGTCATGCCCACATCATGCAGAAGATAGAGATGCAGTAGCTGTTGCAGCACTTAGCATAGCAGGAGCGCAGAAGGGCCCAGCATTTCTGCTCAAGACTCTGAGGGGGCTACTTGGATATTGTGCAGCATTGGTCTCAACACACTGCAGGGCACAGTCTCTGGCAGCTGCTAGTGCTAATGCTCTTGGCTCAGACAGAGCTTCAGGAGGTAGATGCCACTCTTCAGGTTTGGGCCTGCTGAGAGTGCCTGGAGCCGCCTGGGAATAGGACAGGTGAGACCCAGTGGAGAGCTTGTGAGTAAGATCAGAGGACAGATCAGCAGATATGATGTTGTAGTAGGCATCCTGCTACAAACCTCCTGATGAAGGAGAGGAGTTAGATGAAGCCTTCTTTAGGCAGCCAGAGGAAGCCTAACAATCACAGGCCTTGGTACTCATGGATGGCTTTAACCACCCCAAAATCTGCTGGAAGAGCAATGCAGCTGGGTGCAGACAAATCCAGAACCAGGCCTTTGGCACAGTCTCCTTTGACATAGTCTTCTTATCACTGTATTGGTGAGATATGGGCTGGAAAGGCTGATGATAAGCTCAGTGGAAAATTGGCTGGACTGTTGGGCTCAAAGGGTTGTGATCAGTGGTGCAAAGTTCGCCTGGTGGCCAGCAGCTAGTTGCATGCTTCAGGGAACAATACTGGCACCGATACTGTTCCATGTCTTCCTTATGACCTAGATATTCGGACAGAGTGCACTCTCAGAAAGTTTGCGGATGACACAAAATTGGGGGAGCGGCCAATGTCCTGGATGGCAGGGATGCTATTCAGAGAGACCTGGACAAGCTCGAGAAATGGTTTGATAGGAAATTCAGAAAGTTCAACAAAAGCGAATACCAAGTCTTACACGCGGGACAGAATAACCCCATGCAACAACATGGGCTGGGGACCGACTACCTAGGAAGCAACTTTGCAGAAAAGGACCTAGGAATCCTAATGGGTTTAAGAAGTTTAACATGAGGCAGCAGCATGCCCTTGCAGGAAAGAAGTGCAACAGCATCCTGGGCTATATTAGTAAGAGTGTAGCCAATAGGCTGAGGAAAGTGACTCTTCCCTCTCTTTGGCACTTGTCAGACTGCAACTGGAGTACTGTGTCCATTATGAGATAAGATAGTCAGACACTGGAACATGTGACATTAAAGAGGAGGCTGAGTGAACTGGGTCTGTTCAATGTTGAGAAGAGAAGGCAGAGGGGAGAGCTTATTGCTATCTACAACTACTTGATTGGAGAGTACAAAAAGGATGGAGCCAGACTCTTCTCAGAGTTGCACAGCAATAGGACAAGGAACAACAGACACAAGCTGGAACATGGAAAATTCCAATTAGATATCAGGAAAAAATTTTTTACTGTGAAGGTAGTCACATAACAAAACAAGTTTCCAAGGGTGGTTGTGGAATCTCCATCCTTGGAAATGTTCAAGGCACAACTGGAGAAGTCCCTCACTAACCTGAATTACTAGACCTGCTCTGAGTAGGGGGTTGGAGTACATTTCTGGAGCTCCATCCAACCTAAATTATTTGATGGTTCTGTGATTCTTCTCCCTTCTGAAGTTGTGGAAGGATTAAAGAGAGAACATGGAAACTACAACACTTGATACTATTACTGCCTGACACATGCAGAACAGAATACATAGGCAATGTTATCAGACTCTAAAGAAATAAAACCTATCCTTGTGTGCAACACTTCTATTCCTATTAATTAGTCATTCAGGCATCCATTCCTAACACCTTCTTCCACAACACAAACAAAAAAAGAAAATTAAAATCCACGTGGTTTTTCTATGAAGAAAATACTATCATTAGATTTACGGTAAACTCAATTAATCCAACATAATTTCCTCAGAATTACATTACAAACATCCAACATCAGTTACACAACCAGGACTCATAGATTTAGATTGATCTTGCTCTTTTATATCCTGGAAGCAATTTAAGAAAAATGCGCTGTAGTTAATAAAGAGCTAACAGAAAGCACCACCATGCTATATCTTACCAGGCTGGGTGAACAAAGTTCTGCACAGAAATGTCAACTGGAAGACAAAGAACATTTCTTCTGCTCCTGTGAGTAAAAATAATTATACTTTCTTCTGACAGCGATTTGGACAATATCTGATTATATTATGACAATAAATGGGAAACGCACTACACAGTTTTACTGGAGATTTCCTATTCTGTTGCTTAAATAGAACTATATTTTTAAATGCCCAGCATGGTAATATATAAATCATGATGTGTAAGTTTCACAGGAATATACGCTTGATGATAATTTTCCCTCTGATCTACATCCCGCTCAGCTGCTCGTCATCATTCTTCAGAAGACTGACTTGACATCAAAAAGAAGATGCGCTTCCGAGTAAGTCTGGCTGTATTTAGAGACCCTGAGATCATTGAATCAGTGAATAATTTAGGTTGGAAGGGACCTCAGAAGGCCAAGCGGTCCAATTGTGGGCAAAGCAGAGCTAACTCCAAGGTTAGATCAAGTTGCTCAGAGCCTAGTCTGTTGCCAAGAGTAGTGTAAAAGTTAGGATGAGAGACGTTCTTTCTCTTTGCAATAACATAATATTCAGTAATGATACATAGAGTGTAAAGTCCCTGACTCCAAGTTTAAATCTGTTGACTGAATCCAGCCTAGCCTCTAAGATGTTTAGGGGTCTGGAGCACATGACATGTAAGGAGAAACTAAGCGAAAGGCTCTGGTTCGCTTGACGAAGAGAAGCTTAAGGAAGGGGTAAGGTGTCTAATCACAGTTTTCCATTACCAAAGAGGGGAGGGAGTGTAGAGAAGACATGGCCAGACTCTTCTAAGACATGCACAGTAAAAGGACAAAAGCCAACTACCACAAGTTGCAACTGGGGAAACTCCTATTGAACAGTAACAAAAACTCTTTACCACTGGAGTGATTAAGTGCTGGAACAAGTTACTAAGAGATTGCAATCTCCATCCTTGCAAATTTTCAGAACTCAGTTGCATAAGTCCCTGTGCAATCGGATATAACTTTGTAGATAGCCCTGTTCTGAGTGGGGGCTTAGACTAGATGATTTCCAGAGGTCCCTTCAACCTAAATTTATTCTATGATCTATGCTTTTTCAATAGCAATAAGCTTCCTTCTTGTTATAGCCTATGCCCTCCTTTACTCCTGCTAGTGAGAAAGAGGCCCTTGGTGTTTTGCTTCCATAGGGAACTAGTTGGTCTGAGTTGGTATTTTATTTGAGAAATTTTATTTGGAGGGGTACTCCAGTACCCCTTTCTCCGAATGTCATTAAGTTAAACTGACCAAAACCACCTTTTTACCTGGCAGTTAATGCAGACTCCTCCACCTTCGTAATGCCCATAGATGTTTAAGCTTTCTTGACGTTGATCCACATCAGCGTCATAGTAGCAACCAGTGGCATGTCCATAGCAATTGCAGGCTGAAAAAGTAGTATCTCGAGTCAGCTTCCATTATAATAGCGGAATTCAGTAATGCAGCAGAGGTGAAAAAGAAACTTAGATTATTTATACATATACATGCACTCATGTGTGTTCGAGTAGGCTCAAATGAATGTATTTACCTATCAGCAAATGGTCTCTCACACCTGGAACAACATAAGATCATCTAGACGTAAGAAAAACATATGCTACTAGGTTCATCAGAGGAGATAACAGTTGTACCATCTCAACATTATATATTTATGGGTAAATGCAGAACTAGGAAGCTCCAGACTCAGCCAGTTTTTTAAAACTATCAAAAACATGTTCAAATGCTTATTCTATTTTTCCATGTCCAAAAATACATTTAAGCTGAATCTCTGTGTGCTAATTCTTTAATTAAAATAAACAATTACAGACAAGCTATACATATTTGAATAAAAAGACCTACACCAAGGGACTCACATACTCAGCCCTAAGTACAGGGATATCAACAAATGTAACTATACTTTTACCCAGCTGCCGTTTTCTGAACGGAGAGTTTTAAAGCAAGTGTTCACTCTACTGCGCAAGAATTACAGATTCAAAAAGAAGCAGCGTTTATATAAAGAACAACAACAAAAACAAGAATAAGAAACTCCTCTAGAAAGGACAGAGTTAGGTAATGGAGATAATTCATTTTCCTAGTTTATGGCTGTTTACAATCTCAGCTGTGATAAGTTTTATTTTGGGTGGTTTATGGTTAGCTCATTTCCTTTGTTTATTTTTCCCTTCTATTAAGCCAAATAGAGGTAACAATTTAACTCTGAATCCATCTTTAAATGGTATGTATGTTCTGCTATATTTTCAATCTCTTCTAACTAATGTTAATATTGCAGTGTTCAATAGAGATTGAAAAAGAGATTGAAAGACAGATACCTGTGAGGCTTTGCTTGCAGGCACATTAGCCTCACAGACGCCCTAACCTAGGAGGTTCAGCTATCGAAAACATCTGAGGTACATCCATTGATATTCTTGTGGCCTTGTATGCACATCAGCTAAGTTCACCCTCAAGGTGGGAGATTTAAAGACAGAAAAGCCTTTGCTGTTTTACCTTTGGTAGAAAGGCCATAGCAATATAAATGCCAGAACCAACCAAATGTTCATGATCTGTTTGCAGAAGAGAATTAATCTGAAAAATAGCTCTGTGCTTGGAATAATTCCTGCAAATACAGTTTGAGTAAATGGTGATGGATTTACGCAGAAAAGAATTTATCTAATTTCCTGTAGGCCAGTTAGCGTCTCTCCTAATTTGCTCATCAAGCAGGATATCAGCTAAAACTAATCTCTGATCCTCACTCCCTTCAGCAACGTAAAGCTCTGCCTGTGTTCACTGAAATCTTCCAGAACTGCAATATAATTCTGAGTATGGACTAACTAGACCAATACATAGGTAGAATAAATGAAAGGCAGTCCTGTGGTTTTGCCATAAGCTCTATTTCCTTTTTTTAGATCTGATCTGATCTGATCTGATCCGATCCAGTGAGGAAAGACTCACTGGAGGGGATCAACAGGAAATTTTCTAAAAGAATGCAGAACCAAAAAAGACTTCCACAAGCATCTGAATACTAGGCGTGCTTTTAATTACAAATGCTCCAGTACAACAGGGAAACCTTCCTAAAAAATTCCTGAAGGCATGCTTCATGCTTGAGAAAATCCTCCCTTCACCTGGACCAGAGGATACTCTGGAAGGCACTGGGTTCCTGAAAGCACCTCAGAACAAAGATATGGGCCCTGGCCCCATTTTTTTCATGATGAGAGACATGTATTGGAAGATATCCTTACAAATTCTACACAAAATACCTGGCACAACTGGGAGCATAACTTAGGCAAAACTGATTCTCCGTGCCTTGCAATGTGACCACACAGATAAAAGAAGGGACACTGGCTCTCCTCTAGGTCTTTACATCTGAACAGCTTTGGACAAGGAAGCCTAGAAACTTTCAACAATCTGGCTGAGGAATGTTGTGGCCTATCATCAGGTCCCTTGATCTACTGATAGGGCCCATATAGGTCAAGATTGCGTTACCTGGCTGGGTTGTCATTGCCTATGTGGATCTTTTTGCTTGTTTTTTTTTTTTTACTCATATAATTCTTAAAAAAAATTATAAAAAAAAGATGTTGACCCAAGATACTAGGTCAGAAGAGGCACGTACAGTGGAATGAAAATTGGAGGGTTTTGTTTGTCATCAGCCCACCTGATGGACAAAATGAGGCTCTGTGTACAGAGGTGAACATTTCCCTTTCTCTACACTGCCTAAATAAAAATGTCTTGTCCCTATGGCCAAATGCTCTGAGAAATACAGCTCACAAGTATGTCTTTTAACAGCGACAGGAAATTATTTGCTTTGATCAAAGTCATGGCATTTTTTTCTCCCAGGTGAATAAAAACACCTTCAGTCTCACAAAGCACTTCCTTAAAACTTTTGAGTCATTTGCTCACCTGTACAGTACTAGGAAACTCATAGCAAAAATTTGGACACATCCCTACTATTTCCCACCAATCTCTTTCACTCAGTTTCTCTCAAGGAACCTCAGGCTTCTGGGAAGCTTAACATGGTTGCTCTAATGCCTTCACTACCGGCTTCCAGGGAAATAGGTCTGCACCTGGCAAATACTCTCAACAAATCACCTAAAACCGCTAGGAGCAATCTATACTAAAAAGGGTATTTTTTCAGAGGTAGTTAGAAGCTAAGTTCTTTTGGCTCAGAATCTTGTAGATGATTGTTTATAAACTGATTCTTTCAAAAGTATGACATTATTTATGTTCTTTGTCTACCTATTCCCGGCAGAAAATATCTTCCTTTCAAAGAAAGGAATCCAAATGCAGTTTCAAATATTTTTCAGAAACTGAGTCCCAACACGCCTACCTCCTATCAAATGTTTTAATCATCTTTTTTTTTTTCTCAACTATCAGTCTTAGTGCTGCAATTTTGATTAAAACAATACCACAAGGCAGTCTCTTTATTCCTCAAACCAATTACATAGGTACATCTGTTAGGCTTTCAAATAGGATTTCCCCATTAACAGTTTGTACCCACTGGCTATGCCACTCTCAGGAAAGTTAGACCAAGAAAAGGAAAATAAATTCGGCTAGACACAAAGGAAAGCAGCACAAAGGCTGCCAACACATTTGCTCAGAATAGGAGATGTACAAAGACAGCAAACACGTCTGTACCACAGTCACTGTTTTCTGGCCAGAAAGATACAGAACACCTGCGTGTGGCAGTATGTAGCCTCCCATCAAAAGAGGATCCCTGTTATCAACTTAACCCTATGTTACATTTTCTTTAATAAAAGAAGGAGGCACTGGGAAGGTGGGAGAAATGCCAGTGGGCTTCTCCAGCTTGAATAGTCAGTCTGTGGGGCTAGGGCACTCTGAACTATTAACTATGAGCACAGAAAGGAGAGCGTGTCTGCACTTCCTTGGACTCCTCACCAGAAACACCTTGTGCCAATATACATCAGGTCAGTGACAACTGACTGTCAGCATGAGAATGGAGTGAAGCTCAAATAAACACCTGTAAGTAGTGTCAGCCTTAAAAAATCTGCCACTACAGTGCTCCAAAGTCAGTAAGTTCAGAGTCCAAGGAACCCGCTTCAGAGCTTAAGGTAAGGAAGGCAGAAGAGCTGCATCAATTTACAGGAAGCAGGTATTAATGCCAATGCAGCACTCTACTGCTGTAGGGATTTTCAGACCCCTATGTCTGAGTAATTGGATTGCAAATTCAAGAATCTCTTGGAGAGATGACATTTTACACTGGCTCCTTAAATAGAGAGTTATGCTTTCTCAAAATTCCCAAAACATGGATTTCCTTCTAAAATATCTGGTTTATGAGACAGATTTTTGAACTGGTTTCCTTTACCATATCAAAGATACAGTAAGTATAATCACAAGAACAATGAGTAATGCAGAAGAGAATCTGCATTACAACAAAAGATAGCAAATACTGAGTGAGTTGTACCTTATTAACAATCCTTCACTGTTTTCTAAGGGAGCTTGGTTGTATCAAAATGAGGTTTGCAGTACTGCACTAAGTAGTTCTGTTTCCTACCAGTAGCAAAAATACATATCACACAGGTAAACACACACACTCCTCTTATTGACAATACATAAAATCTAGAAGTCAGACAGAGAGTCCTCCTTTGATATCAGTTAGGGGAACCTGTTTACATATTTAATAAATCTAGTTACTTATATAGTCTCTCTCTGTAGATTCTGAATAGGAAGAGGCTGGGTGATAGAGGGATAAGTTTTGAAGCTGTACAAGACAACTATAACCTCCGCTTTGCCAGGGGGATGCACAGTCTGTTAACAGAAACATCTGTGACTGGGGGGGGGCGAGGGGAACAACATTGACTCACGTACTACAAGAAGGTTTCCACCTTTGTTATGTAACGTTTTAAAGGAATGCTTATTTTCATCATTTAAGGAGACCAAAAGCAAAAGAGAAATAATACTCACTGCATCATTTAGTCCTTATTGCTGAATGGAAAGAATTTTCTCAGTAAAGAAAACAGGTGTTAAAATCTGTAGTGTGTTAGTTATGCTCCATGAACACGTGCGCTACAGGAATTCCCACTTATTTGTCAGTCACTTTTAAACGAGCGTCTTTCAGGCTACTCACGTTCACACATATTTGTGCTCCCAGCTGTTGCAGGTTGCCACTGTTTCTGATTATATCCAGGGCAGCAGTGATCACAGGTTTCCCCACAAGTATTATGCTGACATTCGCACTGAAACCTAGAGAAAGACAGACCTCTTTTTCTGTTGAAGCTGCATTTAACATTCCTTCTTCTGCCCAGATTTATTGCAGTCCAAGACTTACAGGTAATGTGAAAAGGACAGGACACAAGCTCACATACAAAGCAGTCAAACAATAATTCTAAAGCGTTTTAGAACTTTTCTAAAATCTTCATGATTGATTAATAGCATGATTTTGAGTTTATTAGAACAAAGGACTTGCAGAGAATATTTATAATTGGATTTAATAGACTAGTTTATAACATTTTATCTTAAGAATATTGAAACAAGGTGACGCACAACACGTCACCACTTCAAGATATATCCCATTTTAGCATCATTCCAAGGCTCAAGCTTATTGTCCTACTGTAAATCAAAACATTTACCACTTTTATATGCACGCCTCATCACTTTTCCATTATGCTTTGTTTACAGTAATTTTATTGGTGTCTTTAATAAGCCAAGTTTGTAACTTCATCCACTTATTTTTAAAGCAATGCACGCTATTCATCAAGAAAATGTAGTGCACATTTATTTTGACTTAGCAAAGAGCCTACAGCCTACATAAGGGCAAGGTCACTAAACAGGCTAGGTCTTACTATCCACAGTAACGGAATCTCAGCATTAACAAAGAGACTTTGACACTGGAGAGGCCTCTTCCAGGGATGCTGTTATCTGTGCAGTCTGATACCCAAGAACAAAACAGTTGTCGAGTATAACCATTCTATTCTGCTAGATTTTACACCTTTTTCACTTACCATTTTCTAGAATAGTCATCTGGAAGGGATAAAGGTACCCATCCACTCACTCACTCGTCTTTAAAAAACAACTGAAAATATTGTATCAACCTGATAAAATTTGGTTTAATGGTGTATAAGAGCAACAGCTGTTATAAACCGGGCTCTTAAAGTATGTTTTAGACAGCCTGAGTATTCACTGTCACTTTCCTGTAGCAGAGGGCCACAGAGCTTGATCTAAGTCCTTATGAAATCTATATGTAGATCATAAACTTCACAGGAAAAGAAAACTTTCCTACAGATTTCGGGTAAGTGTATGACCAGTTGTCAACCCATTTTAATTCAAGCTCATTCACAGAAAGTGACATCTGTAACTCAAGTTAGAATAACATAATATATTCATTCTGTGAAATGAATATGCCAGTACTGCCAAATCACTTCACACTGCCAAAAGAAATTACATTTTTCACATCTGATGTTTGCTAATTGCTCATGTGTGTGACAATAATGAAAATACTTCTCACACAATTCAAGGCATTTAAAGATAATTGTAAAAATATGCCAGATTTATTACACTTGCAGAATGGCTGCTTTTGCAACTACTGTTCTAACCAAATGTTGGTTACAGCCAGATTTCCACAGGTCCTAAATAAGTAGTCAGTGTTACCAAGTTCTGCTCATACAAAGGGTTCAAGTAGAAAAACCTGGACTGTTTGATTTCTGTTACATTCATGGCTGTCCTCCTCATAAATATACTAAGGATATGGTACTGAAGGCCACACTTTTCTCTTCAAAGAATTTTAATAGTCAGTCCAGCTCAAAGGAAGTATCACCTCATTATCCAGAGGACAACAGGATATAGTTCATTCAGTTCCTGTTTTAATCTTTCCTAGTAATGATCAATAGCCATTGGATCTTGGCTGAGCTCAGTTATAATGTTCTATTATCTGCAGGAAGTTCATTAACTTTGTCCTTGAGCTGGCCGTCTAATTTCTGCTGTTCAGAGGTGGTATCAATCCAAGTTTTCCAAAAAGAAGTAAGGGTTTTTAACAAACTATTCAGTCTGCCAACATCTTATTTCAATTAAAAAAAAAAAAAACTAAAGATTTGTTATTATTATATTTCACACACAATAGTTCTTTATATATTGCCATATCAATCATTAGTAGATTCTCATTTTTAAAATATTACGAAAAATCCCTGTAAGACTACCTCACTCTTTAACAAATAAAGTCATTTGAAAACATATCATTTTGCCAGATATTAAATTAATGTGATGCTCAGTTTACTTACTGGTATTGGTTTTCAGCATTCTTTGCATTACACACATCAGCATGGCCATGGCAAACACATCGACCACCAATACTGATGTCCTTTATACTGTAGTAATACTATGGAACAAGCACAAGAAACATGTATGGATCTTTCCTTTCCTTTACATATATGATGACAGATACCTCAACATCAGAGTTATTTCTACGCTGTTAAATCTCGCTTATCAGAATTTTCAAGGCACAATTTTACAAAAACGCCAAAGTTAGGATGGCCAATGGCTAAACCTCTCTTGACGCCTGCATTTCAGTATTAGTCCCATCAAATCAAAGTCAAAGCACATGGGGCACCTGTTATTAACAGAACACATCTGCAGGCTTGTGCAGCTCACACTACATCTATTCTGCTGCAGCTGCCAATTCCCAAGCGGCTATATAGCTACTTGTACCCAGGCTCAAGGCTAGTTCAAAGCCAGCATGAGGACAGAGGCATAAAGTACAGTCACAGTATCATTTGTGAGAGCTTGGTCTGTTCGACAAACAGGACAAGCTGGTGTGGGCAGGGTAGTTTCCCCATTCAGTCAGTCATGATCACTAAACACTAGAAATAGATTGAGATCACCAGGTCAGACAAAAGCTGTCGTGACTCAGACTGGATTTAAATTTGTGACCTGAAGTTGAAATATTTTGTCTCTCATCCTCATGCCTTGCAGGCATCCAGGCAATAGAAGACAAAAATTTAATCACTCTGACTCAGCGCAAATATCGCTAGTATATACATTTCAATAGTAACTTCCGCGTACTGTTTGGTAGCTCACAAGTTGTTTCCCTGTCTCCCTAGAGCATTAGCTTAGTGAGCCAAGAAAGGAGGCAGCATGGAGAGCTGGTTGTAAATCTTGATCTCTGTGTACCTCCAGAAAAAGTTAAAGGGTAAGATTTATTTTTAATGCCACTGGAGGATGAGGAGAACAAAGAGAAAACTTTGCAGTTATGTCCCCATCTATGCTCACTCTATTCACAATATAGGCCTCCCAGTGGTCTACATACCTTCTTTTTGTATGCAGGGGGTGTTGGCTGGCACAGAAGAGATGCTTCCCCAAGACTAAGAGATTTTCCTACTAGCTCCCTTTGGCTGCTGTAAAGCTATTTTGCTCGAGGCAGTTGAAAAACAGTAGGTGGGATATATGGACTAGGAAATACGGTCTGTATTATTTTCTGTCTTCTGAACTATCTCTATGTAAATATACATGTTAATTTCTAATTGTGCTTACTGTTTCCATACTACGAACAACACCTATGCTTTCAGTGTTTTCAGCACAGCTAGAAATGATCATTGTGACTCTCTCCAGCATTTTTGACAGTGTTTGTTCTAGAATAAGAGTGCTCACAACCCAGTCTCTAGTCTGTTACAGCTTTCTAGAACTATGCTCTACTACTAATAGTAATTGTATTGTTACAGGTCAGTAATATGTCAAATTAGCAATAGGCCAAAACTAATAATAGGCCAAACTGCCACAGTTTAGACATAAGCATATCCTAGATAATTCACAGTGCCATGAATTCAAACCATTAACAAAGGAAGCCAGGCAGTTACTTGGACAGGAGAACAGACAGGTCTGGTTTTCATTTATTTTTATAATAAGTTTAATGCAAAGACTCTCCTTCAGAATATTAACCTTTTCCTAGACTTTGAAGGCCTCTACAGTGAAAATTTGTGCTCTCTTTTAACAATTTAATAAAACACTGGACCTTTTCTTCACCTATGCTCCATCCCATGGCCACGATAACATCAAAAGTTGCTTACACTAAAGTATGTTGCTTGCCAAGTAACTTAAGTACTCCATTTACATGTGCTTGTAAGCAACATCTTAAAATGCACTTAAGACAATAAAGGTATTTAATGGGAGTGCTAACAAGTAACTGGAATAGTTTCATGAGTTTTTATACAAAAATCCACACACATTTGTGCAGTGCCTCACCCAGCATTTCCTCCAATTGTTACTGAATCTTCATTTTAAATAAAATAGGTTAAAAAAAACAATACAATATGAAGTCTGGAATCTCTCTAAGTATATGAAATTCTGTGCAGTGTTCTCTTGAGCGGTCTGAATTTCCTTACATTTTCCCACTGAATTGGAGTGGGCTTTTGTCTGTCAAGACCTTGGATTGCCCAAAATCCACAGGAAAACCCTAGGCATCTCAAATGATTTGTGGTCAGATAGCACCTTTCCAGTATGCCCTTTGATTACTTGTTCTTTCAGAAACCCAGGTACAATTCCTGAAAATCTTTCTTCTAATAGATAAGGTAAAGCAGTGTAAAATAAAGCTGACAAGGTCTGAACTATCTTACACAGAGCTGAGGAGCAAGACAATTTCCACTTTGGCTCCTTAGAATTTCCATAATGCACCCAACTCCCTTCAATATTCATAAATGGTTTGTTAGCTGGGAAAGAAGACAGTCTGTTACAAAATCACTACTTGCTCCCAAACTCTGTGCTGTCCCAGTTACCTTCTAACCACAAGCAGACCTGCAGAAAACATGGGGATTTAAAGGTGGGTCACAGTACATTTTGTTTGTTAGGACGTTGCAAACTAAAGTTCTGACCGTTTTGTGTTCTCTGAGATGCTGAACACAATTGTTGAATCTGTCTCTGTGAAAAGAGTACTTACCCTGCGGGTTACAGTTGGGTCCCGTTGAGCTTTTGATATCAAGTGTCCAAGAAGCGTATTGGTTCTGAGAAAACGAAGGCGGATGTTTGTTGCTTTTGTGAATTCTCTAAGACTAGGGGAGTAAGTGAAGTTTTTTGCTCCTGGACGGCCATTTACCAAGGATACTACAATCTAACAAAAGATTAAACGCATGTTTGTTAAAACATATCAGCTGCAATTATCAGTAGTGGGCACAGAGCCAAAAGTTTGGCTACTAAAAGAATCCACAAATTTGCTATTGCTTCTGAGTATACCTGCAGTAACAACTACACTTTTCATACTGAAATTAGGACAACAGTAAAAATAGTGTCATTAGTTTTGAACCCTGCTGAATTCTCATTATTTATATTACACATCCAAAACTGAGTGCCTCTGTCTGTTTTGAAAAGAGTAGGTACAGTGCACAAAAAATACATACTTTTTAAAAGGAAATAACAATAGTAATAGTCACAAATAGCAACACTAAAAGCTGATCGTGTCAATGGGAGTTTTGCTTGAGTAAAAACATCAGGTTTTGGCTCTTTCCCAAAGCACATTTATTTTTGGGTTAAGGCACAAACATTCCTGGAAAATATTATTGTTACCAGCTCCAATGCCCGGGAGCATATTAATGGTCTGGAAGAAAGTACACAGTGTGGCTTCAGAAAATCCCTTCACATGAAAGCAGGCTTATCCAACATTCAAAACAAGTGCTGCAGTACTTTTTATTTTTTCAAAGAAATCGATGTCTGCAGTCTAGCAATCATGAATCTGTTAAATTAACAATTCAGTATGCATGTACACAAGTGAGTAAGAGATTTGCATTTATTTATAACTGACGACATAACAGATATCTACTTCCAAATAGCTCCTATAATCTGTAAGCATGCAACAATGCATTGGTGATGTTTCTAATTACAGCACGATTCCTTCAGCAAGTGATACAGCATGTAATAGGGGATGACACCAACAATGTTCTTCTATAGAAATTATTCTTAAAAACTTGTTATTAGGACAATTTTACAGAAATGTTAGTAGACAACTTCTACTTTAATTTTAAATTACAACTCCAAATCTAAACCTTCAAAACTCTGCAGAACTCTGGAGGAGTTCAGATCTGGATTCTAATTTCATCAGAAGTAAAAAGAGAATGACACCAAAAGTGATCAGTATGGCCACTAGTTTAACATTTGTGCAAATAACATAAGTCATGCTCCTGCTTAGGAAGGAATAACAGTAAAATCAGAGCAGCACTTTTCCAAAGCAGCACTCCTTCCAAACAAGGAGCATTTTTTATGTATTTTCTTACAGTTACTTATCCTTGAATGGGAGATATCTGTTTCTATACCCTTTACTCCTGTGAGGAATTCTTATGCAATAGGTTATATTATATACGTTGGGACTATTCAAGAAATATGGTCAGCAGGTTCAAATGCACATATCTAAAGTAAGGTATATAAATCATAATAAAAAATCTACATAGGTGGCTCTGCGAAGTCCTCACCCCCACAGGGAATGGTGAAAGTTGGGAGGAGCTGGCTCACCCTTCAAAAATCTTACCACACACTTAAGTGCCTTGTTATTGATTTATTAAAGTAGTTTCAGTTAATCATAACTTAAAATTTACTTCATGTTTTAGGTTTTTATTGAAAGAGCAAACTTCTAAAACTAATGCTGTTCACTTCCACACCACACACTACCTTTCTAAAAACACTTACCTCTCCATTTTCAAGAGGCACAATGCGAGAATACTCTGTAGTGCAAATGATATCACTGTCCCTCCTCACAGGAACATTAGCTTCCTTTCCAAAATGTTCCAAACAATCTGCTTTGGAGTCTAGTCAAATCAGATTGAAATTATTTTTATATATGAAAATATACATTATTGTTCTAACTTAAATTAACAAAGAAATACCCCATGTGCTTTCAAGTAAATTCTCCCCCTTAACTGAATGATAGTAGTGATTGCGCCACTCAGTGCAGGAATACACAAATATTAGTACGGAAGAATAGAAATTACTAAGAATAAAATAGGTTTTTTTCATTTCTCATCCTAAGTGATGCCTGACAAGGCACTTCACCATCTCTCCCTTATCATCACAAAAAGCTACAGGTATTCCAACGTGCCTTGCTTGTATTTCACTTTGATTTTTAGAAATAACGTTGGGGTCCACTGGAATGAATAACATTGCAGTTCTGATATACTAAAAGAACAGAACAAATACAATTAAAAAAACCCAACAGATGGAAAATTATTGTAAAATATTTCAAAATACCATGCTCATTTTTAGTTACACTTCTGTCACTACTTTATTGCAGATAACTAAGATAGGTAAGAAAAACGTACTTGACATTAGCTGTCTTCACTACAGCTGAAATCTTCAGTGAGACTCATGGGCTGATTATCCTGCTACTGTGCAAATGATATATAAAATCTGTCTATAAAAGAGCAGTGACACAAGAGTTGATACTCACGAGCAAAATATTGCCAGGGAGTGTAACTTCTTCCAAAATCCACTGATCTTTCTAAAATCCAGAGATCTGGGCGAGGAGAATTTGCAAACTTGATAAGGATGTAGGCAACATGGAAGAGCTGGTAACAAAATATTTATAAATATTATCAAGAGCTTGTTGAACTTTGTAAAATCACTGTAAAAAAATAGTAAAATTAATGCCAGTGAATGCCTTTTCTTTGTGGACACTGAGAAGGTTATCCTCTGCAGTTTCATTCCCATTAAAATTACAGGCCAGAGTCTCTGCTGGTAGACTCCAGGCAGCTGCATCAACCTACCTCACCTACCAATATACTTCAATATATTAAGAAAGATGCAATACAATTATGTTAAATGCCATCTCTTACATTTCAGAATAGCTCTGTCTTGCGTGTGATTGACTGACTGCTCTGGTGTTTTAGGGATAACAGGACTTAACCTTGAAGAGCCAGCATCTCAACTCATCACGGAACTAAGATACATTTGCAGCATCCTGGTACATTCTCTCTGTTGCATTCCAATAATGTAATTATGCTTGCAGTCAGGGAAAATTACAACGAGATAAGTAAAATGAAGTGTCAAAATGCACATATCCCTTACACTGGGACTCTTTTGGCTACATTCGATAGTAAACCGAGCCACTTCTTCCCGCACTACAAGAATGTTTCTAGATAACCGGCTACCTGAAAGACCTTTCAAGTAACAGAAGCAAGTCTCCCCAGAGCTTTATATGTATCAAATAACTCAAAAGAGATTCTTATGACTGGTAGTTCATTTATTGACTGAAACAGCCCCAAAAGCTTCATCAGATTCAAGGGTCCCAAGGCCAAGATTTGTTTCCATCATTTTCAGCCACTCATTGTGCAACACTGTGATAGACAACAGCCACGTCAAGCTCATAAACACTAGGGTAAATGTGGATTTTCCAAAAAGAGAAATTGTATTGTGAGCATCTTATGATATAAAAATCTGGTCATCAGCTAACCTAGGGTCCTAAAAATCTGCACAGTAAAATTACTTCTACACAAAAGGCTGACAGAGTGCAGCTATACTAATTGATTCTAAGGCTCATTTAAAATGTAAACAGCCATGACACAGGTAGGAGGTGTCAATAAAACCGCTCAGATATTGAGGGATTGTCAATATCAAAGTGCAGCTTCACTGCAATTTCTTACTCAGCATCACAAATTCAATTCTTTTGTTTGTAAGAGAGTCTTACTTTGGTGGAAGAGGCAGGGATTTACCAATCATTGGTCTGTCAAATAACCTGCTGTCAGAACCCTCACACATCAAATACACCCATGCAGTTTATCTTTGCTCAGACATCACAAATGTCATACCCGGGAGGCTAACACCTTCCATAGATTATTAGACTCCAAATCACAAAGTTGTACAAGTCTCCGACCACAGAATGGGAACAACAGCTATTGCCATGCCTGGCTCATTCATCTGCTGACTAGAGCCAACTGCTTTCATACCAGCTGGGGCCACCAAGAGCCAGAGGCAAACAGCAAGCCGAACGGACATCTAGAAATTTTCATCCCTAATCAGTACTGTATATGCTGATCACGTGGCAACAAGCACAGCATGATCACATGGCTACCTTAAGATTAGATCTTCACAAACCATTTCAGACACCAACTTCTGAACTTTGACAGAACGGTTCTGCCGGAAACATTACAAAAGAAGGTAAAACCTTCTCACAGAGAAATAGGAGGAATTCTGGGACGCCCTGGAGCATGTTCTCATGACAATACCTCACATCCCAGCAGAAGAAACAGGATTTTCACTGTGCTTTCATTTAATGTAGTATGTGCATCTACTATCCAGGACTAGAACTACACACACCAGGCATCACTGCAGTAGGTGTTGCACCTTAAAAGCTATTTCAGAAGCTATTGATTTGCTGAATGTTGCTGAGCTAGGCCAGTGGAAGAATCAACTGAAAAAAACCCCCACCTCTCTCATCTGTCAATTAGTAAGTATTAGAATTTACAGTGCCTACTTAACAGCCCGACAACCACCAGACTTCCAGGCTTCACCTCCTGTGATATCAAATTAGCTAGCTAAGTAGCCAAAAAGCATCTACATATGGCAAATGACTTACTAGACAACACTATTAAGCAAAATAAACGGCAGACATTCTGTTGACAGAACTATTCTTTTCCCCAGAACGACGCACACAATGACTGCACAGATAGAGTAATGTCCTTAAATTACTGACCAAAAGCCCTAAACTGATTGTCACAAGTTAGGAGAGCCAAATAGCTGAACAGTTTGGGGACTGTATGCCAGATTTGCTGTTAATGAGCTTCTGATACTCTCTGCCTAAGTAACCTCCATTACTTTACTGGCCGCTTTCAGAGCATGGATACTGGTCATGTGGACCTTACATGTCATCCAGTGTGGCCATTCCATGTAAAGTCTGGTATCCTCACAGGGAAGGGTAACAGTTCTAAAATTTGTTCCATGTTCTTGCTTTTGGCCAGCTGAATCTCCCAAAGAGCACTGCCCTGTCAAAACCGAGTTTGCACTGGGCAGGCAACTACCCATCCATTAATATTTTTGCTTGCCCTAAGTTTTAAGGTCTTGAGGAGTTCCATCCTTACATTCATTTGAAAAAGGGTGAATAACACTCTGTGTGTTGATCAAGCCAGATTTCATCCAGGCAAGTGGTTTAGAAAGCTCAAGGGGAAACAGAAGAGGTGTTTAAAAAAGGCAGACTACTTTACTCACAACTTCATTGCTGGCAGTTACATTGTTGAATCAACAATAACCTTCCACCTACCCTCCAAAAAAGCAGATGACATCTGCTTCAGCCTGTCATATAGTTACTACATTTTTTTACTTATATGCTACTCAGAGCGCTGACACTGCTAGTTCAACCTCGTATAGTAACAGGTGATTCCCTCTCATGAGCATGTGCAAAATAGTAGCAGTGAATTACGTTTCCACAGTGCTTCCGCACTGCTGCAGAATTGAAATATGAGACGTGCTCAGTTATAAATCAACGTTACCCTGACTATAACCTTTCAGAAACATCTAAAGAAAACAGTGGCCAAAGTGAAGGCACAAAACAGTATTCTATGTAACGTAGCTGACTCAGCACGCGGTGTCCTTCAAACACCTGCATGCCACATCTGCTCTTCAAGTGTAGAATTGGCTTAACCCCGTGACTACTCAATGCATGTGAAGTTGAACTACTGTCCAACACGTGTATTATATCGGGAACCTCGCAACACATTCTTCTACCAGGTCTGTAAGTGCTTAAAGAACAACCTCACAGCACCACACTTTGCGTACTTCTATGCAAATCACAAAATGGAAGAGTAAAACTATGGTAATTTCAAACTACCATTGCAAATGGAAACCTTCAATTCACGTGCAGCTCAGCCCTCAAGATGTTAGCGTAGCTCGAAATACTGCTCAGAACAGGTTTGTACAATCACATGCTCAGAATAAGTTTGTACAATCACATTGTAAAAGGGGAAAGGGGAAGGTCCTCACAAAAAATAAATTAGTAACAGTTTATGGCAATCCTTCACTAAAACTTAAGTCACCAGCCCTGTCATTTGTCCAGATTCTGACTTCATATAGATGTTAATGAGTTGGTTCTGACTTGGACCAAGGATGCGTACTAGCACCTGAAAGTCCAAATTGCAACTGTAGTTGAATGCAGTCCAAGTTGATGAATGGTCTCTGTCCAGATTTGATGAGGAAGGAAGAAAAATAATCCTCGACTTAGCAAATAAATCCCATGCTAAGGATAGAAAAGTAACCTTTCTGACATAAGACCTAGAACAGCACCTTATATTTCTGAAGTGTTTTTTAAACTTAATTTAAATACATAGCCTAAGCTGACATTTCACTAATTAAAATATTGATCCCATTGCATTGACAGAAATAAGGCACATAGTGAAAAAAGGCATAACAAACTCACAGTACACTGAATTTGTTCTCTTACTGTTTTTCTTTATCAGTCATTAAGTTTCAAAAAAAGGAAATGCGTGTCTTCATATTTGAAAAATTGTTCCATTCGGTTACTTTTTAATTAAGTTTCCTTCACTACAGAAAGGCACCATTTTTCAAATGGAGTGTTGAAAATGTAACAAGGCATTAAAAATAACTGTTCTTTTGATGCAATTATCAAGTTATTAGTTCTCACTGTAAAAAAAAAGGAAAAAATCTGAAATATGATTTAATTAAAATCCTTACAGTTTTCTTATATGAATAAAGAAATGCGTTTAAAAATAGAAACATCATTTGTTTCTGATAATAGAAACTATCTGCTCTGGAAACGCGTACTTGAAATAGCATATATAGACCTATACATTTCCCAGTACCATATCCTGTTGTAATTCAGCAGCATTGATCAAATCTCATGGATTGTCCACAACTGGAACTTTAACCACTTCCATATTTATGTGACTTTTCCTGTTTGTTCGTATTCGTTCAGATTAGAAATGTTCTTGCAGGCAGTGGCCTTGAAGGTTCACAAATATCCAGACAAAATGCAACAAAAATCATCCAATACAATGAGTAAAATGTCTTCTTTATTCGAGAACTCAAATGACAATTCATTGTGAATTACCAATATTACACTATAAAGGTAGACAATTTCTATAAAAACTCTTTCAGATTAATTTAAGACTCACTTAGAAGACTTTATTTAAATTGAATAGGAATCACCCTGTATCATTATTATTAATAAATGCTTTATCTAACAGAATGCATACTTATTTTAATTCCACAGAAAGAAAACTTCCTGCAACACATTGCATCCTCATGAGTATTACAAAAATTATAAGAAGATTTATTAAAAAATTTTTCTCCATTTGCTCCTTAAAATTTTACACAACGCTTTAAATAGAGGAATTTCCAAGATCTGCTTGAACCCTAAATACATCTGCAAATGGAAGAAAGTTAGATGTGTATATTCAAAAGTACATCATATTTTTCTCCATCCTATCACCATAAACCCAAAACAGAATACTAATGAAAGGACTTTTTCATTAAATGCTGAACATATATAGCTACGCAACAAAAATGCAGTATAATCCAAACAATCATTATGCAGTACGTGTAGGAAGAGATTAACAAT